TGGTGTGTTGCAGCGTCCGTGAATGAAACATAATAGCAGGAGCCATCGATCCCAGTGATTTGGGATGGGCTCCAGACATCGGTAAATGTTATTTCTCCAATCTCCTTGTACTTGGTGTCGGATTTCACAGGGAATGGCATGACATTGTAAGGGGAGCATGTGATGTGACAGCTGTGACTGATCACGTGACTGGTCCGTGCGCAGATAGCCCTGTACTTAAGTAGTTGGCTGTGGGGCTGTTCCCCCGGCTTTGGTATCAACTAGGCACCTGGACCCTCATCCCCTGACAGACGTGCGATTTGGCTTTGACGCAGATGTCACAGTGAGAAGTCGGCGTGCTAGACACGTCGACCTTCATGCCGGTGACCATGTCCTTGTTGTAAAGCAGCTTGACTAACTTGTGCTGTATGTGGCCAAAGATGCAGTGCCATGAGACGGAGGAGAGACGGACGGGAGTGCGATGGAGGGAGGTGATGCGGGTGGTGCTGGCGTCCATGAGGATCACGTGATGCGGACTTTATACAGGTTGCCGATATGCATGCCGCGCATGATTTCGCCTTTGGAGCCAGGTGCAAAGACTTTCATTGTGTCGCTGGAGAATTCGACAGAGCATCTGCCAGCCATGAGACAACCAATAGAGATGAGGTTGTATGGCGCGGCGGGGACATGCAATGTGTTCTTGAGCGTGAGCGCGTAGGCGGTGTTGCCTACATGTAAAGCAATCTTGGCGTTGCCAATAGCTTGGCATCGCGCCGAAGCTGGTGACAGACTGGCCGGGGGTCTCCAGGACATGCACACAGTAATGCATGCAATACCCTGGCTACTGCCATTGGGCGTGTCGGCTGCACCTGTAGTGAACAATGTCTGCGCGGGACTTGTGGTTTGGCGGGTAGGGCAACAGCATCCGAGTTTGGCTTGGCATTCTTCTGGCGATCCTGCTCAAGGATGCGCGCGATGATTGGGGCAGAGTTGGTAAAGGAGGAAGTGTCAACAGTCTGGATGAAGGAGTTCCAGGACTCCGGGAGGGATATAAGGAGGGCCGTGGAAAACTTGTCTTCTTCAAACTTTGAGCCGAGAGCTTGGATTTGAGTCCGGAGTCCTGTGAGCTTCCGGATGTGTTCTTCAATGTCGCTGCCTTCCGGGCACTGGAGATGCAAGAGCTTCCGGTGCAGAAGAATGACAGTGAATGCGCCGTGCGGTCAGTACATCTTCTCCAATGTGTCCCACGCATCCTTGGAGGTGGTGCAGTTGGTGATGTAGACAAGCGGGCCGTCTGATACACGAAGTCGGATGGCTGACAGGGCCTGGTGGTCCTTGCGCTCCCACTCGGCGACAGTCTGTGTGCTGGGGGAAGCAGGTGCCGCGGGCGCGGCTGCAGCTGTTTGCTGGGCGGAGGCTGTGCCGGTGCCTGCTGGAGGCGAAACGATGATGACAGGCGATGCGGCGCCAGGCTTGAGAATACGACCCTTTGGATAGTCATCGAGCTGAAGATCTGTCAAGATGTTGGTGAGCTTGACAGCCCATGTGGGGTAGTCGGTGGATCCGGAAAGGTACTGAATGCGGTAGGCTGATGTGGTAGCATCAGACATGCTGGATAATATGAATTATGATGCAGTGATGTGTTGATGATGTCGATAAGGCTGATACGCGATGGGTAAGACAGATATTGAGAGACTTAACCTGTTGAGAGTAGATGACTCAAGAATATGATGATTATTGGGGGCTTTCAGCCCAGTATATATACTACAAGTGAGAGTAACTAGAATGTTCCATAACTATCTACAAGTCTTGCTAAGTGCTGACTGAGCCGCATCGGAGGCGAGTCAGTCCGTGGTCAGGTGGCCGTGGATGGTCCGGCCGGCCGGGCCGGGCCGGCCGGGCATATCCTCAACATATGACCTGTCAGCGTCAGGCTCCGGCCATATTGGGTTATCGGGTAGTCTGACTTAGGGTTAGAGGAGCACAAAAGATGGGGTTTAGCCTGGAGAATAGATGACATTAGCCTAATGTAGAATAAAGAGCTCAGTCGGGGCACGGAAAGTGAACGACTGATATATTCTGTACCTGTAGAATAAAGAGCTACACAAGTAAGATAAGTAAGAGAAAGAAGGTATAGTAAATAAGAACATACCTCAGTCGGGGCACGGAAAGTGAACGACTGAGGTATCTCCTAAGCTACTGTAAGTATAAGTATTCGATCGTAAGGATGATGGTAGTGAAGGGGGGAATAAGGGGGGAATAACGGTGTCTATGCGCGTCTCAGAAGAGACGCGCCGGCTATATGGCCAGCCGTGCCATACTCTGACACCTAACGACTACATCCTGTAAGTACGGTTTTTATACGCTAGGATATTAGGGATGGATCGGATGGGAAGCTTTGAGGAGTATGGCGGAGATGTGGGCCCGAGCAGGGAATGCGGGCCCGAATGGTCCCGTGGCCTGGCGGCCCGACCCGAACTGTGACATGACCTGTGTTGGCTGTAACCTGTAACCTGTGACCTGCCGAAATATTTCAGCCAAAAAATCCAATGTGACTGACTGGCAGAATTGAATGAAATGGGTCAGTATGTCTATAGTGCCAAATCATATAAAATTTCTTTTAGGATTTATTGCCACCTAGGTGAAAAGTAGCATTGCCAGGAGTTGACTTCTGACCCTAGAATGTGGAGTATTCACAACTCTTTGTCCTAGAATGACCTATTGGTTTCAATTCACTAATATCAATATATTGATATATCAGAAAAAAACCATTTTGAAAAATCTTGAACAACTTTATTTTTGAAAAAGATTTGTGATTTTGCTCATTTCTATGTATTCCTGACATTTCTTCAGTCCTTAGTCCTCTAAAAATCTCTTAAAATTTTGTAATTATTTAGCGACAGTTGTGCTGAAGAGTCTACTGGTATCTTCCAGACTGATTCTCATTTTTCTGTCTATATTTATTATTGGCAGGCATAGATAGCAGCAAACGAGTACTGATCAGTTAATAATCAGGAGTCTGGCTGCTCTGCATTGTACAATTTGCAGAAGATGACTGGAGCGCCGCTGCTTGATTAATTGTCCTATTTCATTCCTTTCCCTATCTGATCGACTACTTATATACCATCGTTTGCAGTTAGTGGCGCTTTGGTCAATATGTACTCAGATAGTCACCCAGATAGCCAGTGGTACTGTAATTGCATTCTCGGACTAAAGGTACTTCCTTGGGTACTTTGAATTCCAAATACTCATGATACATTTTGTAAGAACGAATGAGGTGCAGTAAGTATGCTACAGGGCCAGTGTGTGTGGTATAATAGGTGGTAAGGACAGCAAACGAAGAGCAGGACAGAAAAAAGGACAACAGAGCACGACGAAAACTCGAAAGCAAGACACCGGGGCGGACGACGGCGCAATTGACGGTGGCGAAGAGCGAATGGCGAGGTCACAGCGGGAGGCGACGCGAGCGCGAGCGGACGCGTCACGGACCTGGCGCGGCGGCGGCGCCGGCCTGGGTCATCTCCATCTCCATGTTCGTCTCCGGGGCGGCGCCGGCGTCCTGGGCTTGGGGGGGCCGGCCGGCGCGGGCCGCAGGCGCGGGGCCGCAGAACGACTGGCGACGATGAGCGAGGATAGGATGAGGACGAGATGAGGGGAACGCACGGTCGCCAGCTCGCGGGACACGCCGCGCCGGCCCGCCGGCCCCGAGGTGAAGCGCGCCATGGGGAGGCCATGGCGAGCGGGCGGGGGGGGGGGGGGGGGCCGAGGCGTACGTCGGCGCCGGCGGCGGGGGGCCGATGGCGTCGTACGCTGGTGGTGAGTCGGCGGGTGGCTATGGGGCAGTGAGCGGAGGAGAGATGAGAACGGGGGACGTGCCTCTTGATCGGCGTACAGCGGCGGCGGGCTGTCGTCCGCTGCTGCCTGTGTGGGGCAGTGAGCAGAGGTGGGGTGAGAAGTGGCGAAAGGACGTGACTTGCCTGGCGCGGGGGGGCACGGTAAAGCGGGTCGTAGCCGCTGGACGGCGGGGTGGCGCTGTTCGCGTCCGCCGTTGACGTTGGCTGTGGGCGGGGTTAGGTGCAGGGCGGGAATGGCAGCGGGAGGACGCACGTCGCCGTCGCCGTCGCCGTCGACGAGGAATACGGGTGGGGCCGCCGCCGCCGCAAAGGCGTCGAGGGCGCGCCGCTGCTCCTGCCGATCCACAAGCATGAAGGGCGGTCCTGGGCCACCGTGCACTCGCGGTGGATGCAGAAAAGAAGAGGACCCCACCTTATTTCAGTATTTATACTCGACCCTGAGCGGGCAACAGAGAAGCGCACCGAATTTATGCCCGTTTTGGACCCGGAGGCGCTAGCGCGTGCGTGCGTGCGGCTCGCGGGCTATGCGTGGGACGTGCGATGCCGGGATTGAACTTTGTCGTCTCGATCGAGGAGAAAAAACTTAGAAAAAGAAGGGAAAAGACTAAAAACGCGCGTTAGCGGACAAAAAGCGGCCTGGGACGCACCGCGCGCTGCTGCCACATCGAGGAGGCCCCTGCGCCCGCCCCGCCGCGGGCCATATAACCGGCGCCAGCATCAGCAGCGACCACCGCGCAGCCTGAGGCTGTTCTCCGTCCGAGTCACGCCGTCACACCCGGCCGGCCCTGTTTTCCGCCACCCACCACGTGCGCCGCCCACGACCCCGACCACGCGCGCAACCGCGACGATGGACGCACTGTCGCGACGGGTGTGCGCGGAATATGCAGGATGGGCGAGGTCAGAGCGGCGCGCACGCGTACTTACGCGTGGCAACTGGGTGCTGCCAACTGTGAGTTCTGCCTGCCGCTGAGCCGAAGAACGACTTATCTGCTCGCTCGCCGTTGACGCAATAAGTGCTGGAGAGGCGAGGGCGGGGGATCGCGTCGGCGCGTCGGCGCGGCGCGCGGCCAACTGGCGTGATCCCGAGCTTGAAGGCGCTCTTGCGAGTCGGCTCACCAGTGTAGCTGGCTCGCAATCCTCCTCCTCTGTGCTGAACCACAGTCGGCTATGGCTCTGAATCTCCACCGGCACCAGACCAGCAAGACGGCGACGCGCTTGTTTGAAGTCACCCATGCCAGACCACCTCTTCTCACTCACCTCCTCTCCCTCCGAAAGCATACGCCAATCGAGACCAGTCTCCAGATTCAGATCTCCCCTCCTTACCTTCCTCTTCCCGTCCGCCCTGTAACCCCACACCGCATCGGTCCGCGCGACACCCCGCCGCAGGCCCAGCCGCAACGCCACCCCGCCCGCTCACTGGCAGATCTCGCGCGTTGCGTCGGACTCTCTGGCAGCATCGAAAGCGATTCCCTGGCAGAAAAGCAATATTCGATATTCCCTGACAGAAAAGCAATGTTCCCTGGCGATAAAGCGATATTCCCTGACAGCAAAACAGATTTCCTTGCAGCAAAACACTGGACGCCGGCGCCCTCCCCCACCCACGCCCACACCATCACCGCCCTCCTTATCGATATGCTCTGTGTCGGCCCAATAACTCACGACGCGCACCTCTTCCTCTCGCAGCGCGCAACACCAGCCCGCCCGGCCCGCATTGTCCGCGTGCTTGCTCTGGAATCCGCAGTCTAGCCGCTAGCGACGCGCATCGGAACATACCTCCTGGTAGTCCCCACCGCGCGCCGCCCCAGCCCACCGCCCTGCCCTTCGCACCCAAACGCGTCATCCGGCCGCCCCGTCCGGCGCCGAGCCCCGAGCCCCGGGGCACGTGCAAAATGACCGCACCACGTGCTCGGCACACCCGGGCCCCAGTCGGCGATTTCCAGAATCCCGCCATCGATATCGATGGCCGCGAGAATGGAAGCGCGCGGAAGGAAGCGCACGGGTGGATGCGCACGCCTCGAGGTCAGGGTCGAAGGTTAAGCCCTGATGATACCCGTCGCCCGTGGGGCGGTGCGATCGCCGGCGGCGGACGGCGGACGGCGGACATGGAGCGGGCCTGCGTCGATGGCGAGCCGCCCGGCTTCGGCCGGCCGCCGGCGCTCGGTCCGCACACACCGGTTGGCGCGCGCTGGCACGCCCTCCGCGCCAGGCGCAACGCGATAAGCGCCCCCCGCCCAGCATCACCGCGGCCCAGGACCGCTGAGTACGGGCTGTCCCGAGAACCTGCAGGGTTGGCATGCGCTGCGGGTAGCTGCGAGCCAGCCGCAGACAGCGGTGGCCTGTGGGGATAATGGGCGTAAGGCCACAGGCTGGCGGCCGTCCTCGGGTTGGCACCGTCGCCTTCCCCACCGCGCGCTGTCGAAGAACGGTTCTTGAAAAAAGCAAATCACGTCGTTTGCTTTCCGGCGGCAGTAAACTTTGATCTTCCGGTCCGGTGCCCCACGTGGTCAGGGTCGAGTCGGGCTCTGGCAGCGCTGGGCCGGGCCCCGAAGGGGACGCTGGGCGGCGAGACGTCGGCCTGGCTGGCGAGGAATTCGAAACTAGCGCGCATTTCGTGGAAGCTGGACGGCCGGGCTAGCTTTGGTTTGGGCCCGGCAGACGGGGACGGGCTGGACGTGGAGCGGAGACTGGTGCTATGCGGGCTGGCCGTGGGGCGCTGGGCTGGTCGGAATGGGAAGCCGGACAGGCTGGCCCTAAGGGATGCATCATGGTCGGTAAGTGGTTGTGAGCAGCGAACGGACAGACGACTGACTCTTGCGCAGGGACAGGGCGGCGAGGTTGAGTCGGCGCTGTAGCCCGGGCTCGAGGACGGGGACGGGGGGCCGGGCGGCTGGAGGACGCTGTCTATGGCTGTGGGAACGGCAGGCGGGCGGAGGATGGGGAATCTGGTTGGGATGTGGAAGGAGGAGGTGGTGGTGGGAGGGATGGCGAGGTGGAGTGAGTGGATGCGGGCAGCGAGCGAGCGGACAGAGGCATTGACTCGTGGCAGTTTGCAGGCTGGCGCCGCCCCCGCCCGCGCCCGCGCCTGCGCAAGCTCAGGGCCGCCGACGAGAACGGAGGCGCTGCAACTTGACGGGAACCATGGAGGATGGAGAGCGTGGGAGGCGGGAAGTAGGAGTCTGCTGCAAGGGGGAAAGAAGAGGGGAGCGCGCCAGAGAGACGCACCGTGACGCGCAGGTATCTACCTCCCCGGGTCCTTCAGGCTCCTTGCGGCCGAGTCGGCGCTCGCGGTAGCCTCGAAGTCGGATGGCTTGTGGCTCGGGCGACGCCTCGGGCTGGACGGCACGATGGGGGCAGCGGAGCAGGGGGAAAGAAGACTGAGGAGTAAGATTCGAGTGACCGCTGGCGAAGTAACGCTGACGGGAACTTCTGACAGTGGCGCGTGCGCGTGTCAGCTTGTGCGGCGTTTGCTTATGTACTTCCTTGTATGCCCTTGCACAAATACTTGACAAATACTCTCAGTCGCGCTTGTCTCAGCAGTAGTTTTGTGTTTATTGTAAATTCTTGGCAATGATACAATCCACACACTGCAATCCACACAACCCTTTCTCATGCAAGTTCTCTCCTTTAATTCTACTCTACACTGGCATAATCTACCCCCTGTTCCTCCCTCCACCCAAATGGCAAATCCACTGCCAGCACACCAGCCCCTGTTGCCTAGCATCAGTGCTGCATCACCCAGCCTGTCCTCACGTGACCGCGTCTGATCGTGATCTCTGAGTGATGGCAATCATATCAATGATGCCACAGGCGGGTTAAAGCACCTCATAACTAACACAGGTAAGATAGGTTTTTTTAGACATTTGAGCCATAGTACTATTATCACAGATATGTGGCTTGTATATGCAGTACAAGTAATTCCAGATCAAGGCTGAAGACAGCACAAATTGATTATGGCTGGCAGGCTGCGGCGGTTCGGCGCCGGGCGGACCGTGCAACTGGGAACGGTGACTTGAAGTTGCTTCATTGCACTTTAAGGTCAGTATGTTATTTCAGACATCAGCCAAAAAGGAACAGCGCATCGTGATGCAGCCTGCAGGTTGGGTGTGGTATCTCCCAAGTGGTCGGCCGGCCGGCCCGGATTCAGAAACAGGAGGCTGCACTTGCAAGTTACCTGGTCCCCGCCGATGGTCCGGGATACTGCGTCTTTGGTGCGATTCGCGCGACGGGTAGGGTATCAATACAAGCTAGGACCTCCCGGTCATCTCCGACCAGATTTACAATATCAACGCAAAATACACGAGTCAGGCTACAAGTATCACCAAGGCCAGATAGCAAGATATTCTCAAGAGCGCGAGTCCAGATCTATAGTGCCGCTGAGGATGCATCTGACGAACTGTCCAGACCTATTTTCCGCATAAGAGACGAGACACGGCCCGGCGTTCGGAAGCCACTCACGAAGCCGATGTGTTTTTATTATATGGATCAGTTTCGCGGTCGCCGGGCGTGTCGGTCGGTCCGACGTCGGTTCCTGTGTCTCTCGGAAGTCTTGCAGAGAGAGTTTTGAGATCTCTTTGTGGACAGACGCGCGCACGATCGAATTCGGGGCGAAATATGCCTCCACCGCCTGGTCAAATGCGCTCGGAAAGTCGGCCATGGAGACAGACGATTCGATGGCAGTCTGTTCAAGTGCTGTGCGCAGTCAGTGGGCTTGGGGACGCGAAATGGGTAGAATGGCCGCACTAGCTGTCGATAAAATTGGCCGACATAACGCAACCACCCGCACCTTCGAAGGTTTTGAGCCCAATATGAGGAAGCAATGCATTACCTACGAGATGACCGTCGCTCTAAAGTCCAAGTCAGACAATCTCCTCGAGAAACGCCAGTGTGATTACCAGGCTCAGGCTAGCCATTGCTCGAGCTAAATCAACGATGCCCTAGTGACAAGTCCGCGCCGGTATCGCGTGAAAACAACGATAATTGGTACTTGAACTCTATTAATACCGACAATTCAGAGGATTGGCTCCACCAACCTTGCGGAGCGATATGATTGTCGAAAAAATGTTCGTCGCCACTGGCAGGGGATAACTTGAAGCACATTCCGGTATCAGTGCATATGCAGTACCTATTATTCGTCTTAAGGAACGCGGTGGAATGGGAATAAGGACCGACCAAATCGCGTGGACGTGTTGCGAAAACCTTTTGGCTCGTCCACGGTTGGATACTGTAGAAAAGGTAAATGTGTTATGGACATCTGAACCCAATGCGGCTGACACCATTGTGAAAGTATGGGCGGGCCAAGTAGGATAGAGCAAACTCGGAGCAAACTAGCCACGCTAAAAGGGATGAAGGTTGGGAGCAAAGATGAGTGTGTGAATCGATCACTATCGTCATGATCATAGTGTCGGTGTCATTGTGTGACACTGTTTCAAAACTGTGAAACGCTGTCACAGTTTGGAAGAACAGCTGCCCAAATGTCCCCTTTCAAACCCAAACCACCACCCACAGCAAGAAGCTTGCCAAGAACTGATAGATAGTAGGGCAGGAAATCCGAAAAAGAGGGCTGAGGGGGTGGGAATGTGTTATCATGATGTGGAGGGTAGTTACTAGTAAGTGGTCAAATCCGGCCAGCTGCCACCAACTTGAACTCATCTGAGTGTGTTGAGTCAAGTGTGAGGTTCAAAAGATCCAAACAAATTTCAGCCACAATTTTATTTTCAGAATCCTATCTCACCGGGAGAGAGGACTATTATCAAGGAATACCCCTTGGATAACTTATGTCCAATACGCTATAATTATCCACAATTGTCCAATACTATTTTGCTAAAGCTCATGCAGTGGCTGGTAGCAAGGTGGTCACAGTCGCAAAGCACTGCTAAAGCACTTGCGTGTCTGGGTTGGATCAAGGCCAGTTAGGCGCCGAACTTAGGCGGAACTGCTTAAAGCCGAAAAGGAAAAGCCTATAACTAAGACCTCTGGAAGCACTACAGTTATCTCCAACCCACTTTACATCATCGACACAAAATGCACTAGTAGCAAGATATCCTCGAAAGCGCAACTTAGAAGTCCAAAACTACACTTGGGGTTCCTCTGCCGCGATTGTCAGGCCTATTTTCCGCCGCGTCAGAGACGAAGTTTGAGATCCAGAACCACTCACGCAGGCGATGTGCTTTTATTATCTGTATCAGCTTTGCAGTCGCCGGGCGCTGAGACGGACAGTCTGACGTCGGGTCCTGCGTCTCTCGATAGTCATACGGGGACAGTTTCGCAATCTCCTTGTTGACAGAGGCGCGTACAACGGAATTTGGGGCGAAATACGCGTCCACCGCCTGGCTGAATGCGCCCGGGAAGTCATCCATAGAGGCAGATCCTTCCGATGAGGTCTGTTCGATGCAGATACACAACGCTGTGTACGGTCAGTGGGCTTGGGCACCATAAGTTGGTCGAAGGGCCGCACTAGCTATGACTTCCGCCCGTTTTGTGTGTGCAGAAGTGATCTAATATCGGTGAGGCTCAGCGCAACGCCCGAATAGTCGAAGAAAGGCCCCCCGTACAGCAAATTTCCGGGATAAGCCTGACTGACATGCAGCGATTGCTGGCGCCTGTAACGATTGAGCTTGATGCGAAGCATAAAGGCACTACGGACCAGATGCTCATCGTTCTGCAGTTCAAGTCAGATAATTTCTTCCGAAGAGAAGATAAACCATCATAATCACCAGGTCAGTAATCGCTGGAGCCGATTCAACAGGCGCCTGGCGCGAGGTAAGTCTGTGGTGATGTTGTTGTCGCATAGCTCACATCCTACGAGATACTAGTGTCGGCAAGCAAAGGGGGGCAATCAAGAGCAGACGCACATACTGCGCGGTCATTAGTACAGGCTTTCGCGTCATCAGCTCGACTCACTGTCTGTGTAACATGATCATTTCATTGTGATGCCAGAAAACTGAATCAAACAACACACTTCGTTCTGGTCGCCATCTCAGAATCAGTCACAAGACCTAAATCATAGACCAACTTTCTGAAGAACGATGAGCGCCCTGAATTTGGAAGATGATGATATCGTACCCAGATGTGCGGATAATGTCGCACAACACAAAACGTGATATCTGCAAGAATCAAATTGAAAGCAGATAGCTCCGAGGCCAAATGCTCTTACCTGAGCCTTCTTTAGCGTCGAAAGATCTACCAGCGGAGGATTAGGATCGGGCAAACAGGGCACATAAAAGAACCATACTCGCTGACGGCAGATTCCATACAATAATCCAGGTTGATCTGTCGAACGGACGAAACCGTCGGTCTTAACCTGTCTTCTGTCATAAGCTCGAGAGTCCTGTGAACGAGATGCTCCAGGTTAGTGGTCTCGTCCAGTAGGTCTGACACAATATTCTCATTAAAGGTAGGTCAGAGAAAGAAGGTTGACGTACCATCCACTTGAATAAAGGCTGTGGGAGGGTACCGGAGCGCTTTCAATGGATCGATATATTGCAGCTGAAGCAACTCTCGAGCCTTTTCGAAACGTTTTTCTTTGGCTTCAACTCGTTTGAGCGTGATTCGGAGGTCTGCAAACGCCCTAGTCACGAGTCCGCGGTATCGCGTAAACACAGCGATTACTGGTACTGGGATTGGCCAATAAGAGTCAATTGTCAATTCAACGGTATTATCCAACCTTTTTGAGCAATATCGTTGTCAAAAAAATGTAAATCGCCTGGGGATAATTGCATTCCCGTATCGGTACAAATGCAATACCTGTGGTTTTGTTCCATTAGGTTTACAATTAAGGGACTAAAGAACCAACCAGATAGCATGAACACGCTCCGGAAATGTTCGCGCGAGTCCACGTTTGGCGAGAAATGTTTTGACTAGTCGCATTCGTGAGCCTCCTGCTCCCTCGAATCCCGCAGAATCATGCAACAAGAGACTGGGATGCGGTATCCCCGTCTCGATGTCCTCTTTTCCGGGCTAAATTGTGCCTTGGCTTCAGCTGCGCGTACTTGATAGGACGGACACTAATGACCTCGTACCTCAAGAACAGTGCCGCATAGCGTGTTGACGAGAGTTGTCTTGCCTGCCTGCAGCCTTCCTGCCACAAGAACCCGAAATTTTGCTCCTCCGGCACTGGAGATTGTCGGCACAAGTCCTTCCTGATGGCGTGATTCCAAAATTCCGCGTGTCCTGCTTGTGGCCTTCGGATCGATGGTGGCACGACTAGATGCGCCATGCGCATCCAATGCGGTGGATTCCATAGCGGAGGAAATAGAGTGCCGAATGAGTCAGAGAAAGGCTCGAACTCGTGCTCAATGGTGGAGGTTGAGAGCAAAGACGGCGTGTGAAAATCGATGATGATGTTGATCCAAATACGGATGAAAGACACATGATCAAACAATAATCTGTCTTTCACGACGCATTCTCTCATTCTCTTTGGTTCTTTTGTTCTCGTTCAATGCTGTATCGCGAAGATGGCCTGGGAGAAATTAAAGTATCGCCGCGTGTTTTCTGGCGTCACGGTCTTGGCGTCTCGCCCACACACACCCTACACGTGCTGACCATACCCTGGCATCCTCCCACTAGGACCTCCAGCGCCCGACTTCGCGCATAGCGCGAATGCCAAGGAACACCCCGGCAGACCATTTCTGGGGTCATTCAAGAACTCGGAGCTCCGAACAATGCCCACAGTGCGGTTCTTTTGAATCGTTTTCGGCCGAGAGGCTAACTTGGTAGCAGCCTACATCTTCTAGTTGTCGGCGCCGTGAGCATTAGTCTCCTACAAACCCACTCACCAATCGGCTACACCTCTAGCGGGGAATCGGCAAAACAGCACTAGTGCGCCATGCTCTAGCAGGACCCGAGTCGGAGTTCCAGGCGAGTTCAAGAGTCAAATTCGAGTCAGCGCATGCACCCATTTTGGGTTGCTGAATAAACCTCCCAGATCACCGTGCACAGCAATAACGATGAGTGGGTCACGCCGGGCTGGAGTTCCCTGCGCAATCCCCGACTGGTGGTTCACGAGATATCGTATATCTACGACGACGAATTTACACAGGAAGAAGATTCGATTCCTGGGCTCAATAAACTGGAGATAGTGCAGCAAATTTTGAAGGAGAAAACCACCGACCAGTCTTTTATGGACCAAATCCATGTTATTTGGTCAGTGAATTGCGATGACCAGGTCCATTTACAACGTCTTTGACTTCCCCGTAACAGGTTTTGCATCGAAGTCCCAGCATCGTCAAATCGTCCAGTTTTTACACCTTCAGATCTTGTATTCTTGGCCTCGCAGAATGGTATATCAAGGGTTTCGAACCTTCAGCGCCAGTATTTGATCGCGAACAGTGCCCATCGTAGTGGTTTTCACCCGATTTGACCTTCTCATCGCTGATCTGGAAGAGCGATTGAGTTTGCCTGACAATATTTCGGACGAATCGGCGGATGGCTTAACAGTGCAACGAGCAAATGCACAATTCCTCGCTATGTGCATGTCAAAGCTAGCCGAATTGGACTACATAGCCTCGCATGCCCGCACCGGGGGTCTGATTCGTTTCGTACCCGCTTTGTTCACATTCTCATGATGAACAGGACTGAAAACCGCGACTATAGACGCAGAATCCATTAACGTCATTAGAAAACTCGTTGAAACGACCTGCTATCTTGCGGATGAATACGTGGAACGCAAGCTGTGGGAATCTGAGCGCACACGTATATCCCAAGATCGTGATGGTCCTTGGAAAACCATCGCTGAGGCTTCAGAGTCAGTGCTCGTCTTGGTAACACAGCGGAACGAGCTCACCCAGAATTCTACCTCGTTAGAAGTGTCATGGATGGTATGGATGACAGATCACCGTAACGTCCGCAGTGCTCATTGCTCAGCAGTCTATTATGAGGCGGTCCGCAGTAACATTCCCTGGAGCAGCCTAGGCAACACCATGGATAGACTGCATCGAACCATTACGCGGAAATGGAAGCTGGATGATCCTCATGTGGTGAGAGAGCGTCTTGACTCGGAGACTAGGTGACAATGTGGACTTGCAGCGACGGGACGATACCCCTTTTGTTTCCCAGGTCCACCAACTGTCGACCACGCACAACCCACATCGCCCGGAGTCTGATAAACCTTCATGGTTGTAAGCAGCATGCCTGCGCTGATATGAAGAAAGGCTGACCAGATCTACCAGAGAGGCTGGTGTCGACAGATATCAGTTGGCTATCACACTATTCCTCGCAGCCATCGTCTCGTCTAAGAGTATGATTGCGGGAGGAGTCATAGTGGGCTTTTGGATGGTCTATTGGATCACACAAAAAATGTGCGCTTCAATCAATCCTCGCAACAGAACGTTGATCTTCACTCACCAGTCCTGAAACCATCCGTTTCTTTCTCGAATACTCTATCCACCTTATACTCCTCCTGGACCGCATTTTCTACAATACCACAATCAATAATCTCGGTCGTCCACGCCCATTAACAGAGGCAGATTTGAACCAGGCGCTTCATGAGTACCAAAACTCTGGAACAGCGGCTCAGGTACACTCCGAAGTACAATTGTTTGTGGACCATGGATGCAAAACGTGGTGGAAGATGTACCCCAGGCTTAAGAAACAAAGGGCAGAGCAGTTGGTGAAAGATGTAGTCGAGAGGTTGAGGGTACGACCGGAGAACGGCTTGACACCAATGACGGGTAACGACCGCCCAGACGCGAGGATCGATGTCGCGGGAAATTTTTCCGGCCCTAGGCAAGCGGTTGAGAGGGGAAGGGCACAAGTGGAGACTGAGATGATACCGATGGAGGTATTGGGAAACAACTCTTCGAATCCGAGGAACGACGTTGTCGACAATTCTGCTGGCGCTACGCAGATTGAGAATCAAGATGGGAGGGCCACAACGACACCTGACGACAACAGGTAGACGGAATCGAGAGGGAATGCGCCAACTGGGAGGAAGTTATTAGCATAAACATACCGCATACTGTAGAATAGCCCCACGGACCTGTTCATTAACGCTTTTCGCGTTGTTATTGCATATTTCAAGTTTTACCATCCACCGTGTCAAAATGAGGCATATTGAAAACGAAGTTGCTACACAAAGAGGTGTCGCACAGTGGAAATTGGGCGATGAGAATCGAAGACTCGGGCCATGAATCCGACTTCCACAGAATCCCTCTGTTTCTTCGTATTGGCTCTTGTGTGTTAAACGAAGTGAAGAGGACCGCAGCAAATCCAAAGAGTAGACTAAAAGAGGGTCAGAATCAAGCAGACCAAGATAACAATTCAGACGAACGAAGCCAGCGAGCGGAACCCCTCCCTTACTGCATTGGATATCCAACTTTTCGGCAGCCATAGTCCGTATATCCAAACAGGAGAATTGACGCGAAGTTCGAACGCAGCATCAACAACGACGAGTTACGGGCGAAAAGGTGAATTCCCGAGTATGAAGTATGTTTCTTGACGTCGAGAGCAGGTTTGGGGACGGGTAGACGGCGTAAATGCTGAGCTCGTCGTTGTTGACCTCGAGAGGTGTGATGCGTGACGGTGAAAATTGGCCCGAAATTTGCCGGGTCAGCGAGGCAACATATGAGCCTTTTCCGTGCAAGGGTATGTGTTGGGATTAACAAAAACCTCCTCGAATTGAGAAACATCTTAGATCTTGTCGCCATTGTCGTTGCTTCATTGAATCTAGATGAGTTGCCTACAAGTAAGTACTTAGACAATATTTATGTACAATCTCGACACTTGTTTGTTACTCTCGCTCGACATCCAACTATGCGCGGCGCTTTTTGCTAGCCGGCGAGCCCAGCACCGAAACCTGGCGCAGCTGCTTCGTCGCTTTCTCCTTCCCCTTACCACTGCTCGCCGTCGGCTGCACATCCTCCTCCCACTCCTCCCACTTGCGCTTCCGATAGGCCCCCTCGCTGGTGCGCATCCGATCCATGTTCCTCACAGCACGCTTCACGCCCTCCTTGATCTCCCTCTGCTTCCTGCTCCGGCTCTCCGCCGGGAAAAGCTCCACCAGGGCCGCAAGCTCGTACATGCACGTGTCGAAGTCACTCGCGGCGACGGTGTAGCCTCCAATCAGCTCCCCAGAATCACTTTCGGCGTCGGTATCTTCGAGAAACATCGCGGAACGGGAGTCACGATTATGGGAGTTGGCTTGGTTGTGATAATGCGCCGGGGTAGGGGAGGATGTCTCGTCGCATACCGGAGCGCGCATGTAAAATTGACTTTTCGACGACTGGTTCTTGTTGCCGCTGGTGCTGGGCACGATGAGGCGTCCCGTCGGCAAGCGGGGTTGCTGCTGCTGCTTGACCCGCGGCAACTTCTCCGTTTCCACCACGCTTTCCTCTTCTTCAGCTACACAATCGTCAGTCATCTCGAGTTACCCCCGCTGGTTATCGAAACTTACTACTATCATCTTCATCTTGAATGGAATCCTCCTCATTCTCACTCGACTTGCCCTCCACTTCCTGGCCCAACTCGCCCACCATTTTTTTCAGCTTCTTCGCAGGCTGTACGAGCTGCAATTTCCGCTGCCGAGGGCTCTTCTTGGGTCTGAGCGGATTGCGCATGGGACCGGGTTTGAGCCGGGGCCGCACCATATTTTCTGCGCCAGGGTTCGCGGCAAGGTATGCCTGCTGGGCGGCGGCGGTCACGGTGAAAAACGTATGAGTTAGACGCTGGCAATGTTTTCATTAGTAGGAACAGACGGTGCATCGATTGCACGCACCCCTTTGCGCCGAGGGTCAATTTTCTTCGTCTGTTCTTCATCAAGTTCATATACCGACATACTACATCCGTGGGTCCGGACAACCTCGGCAAGCGCTTCGCGCACGTCCGTCGTTAGGCCAAACTTGCAAACGAGCGAGGTAAGGCCCTCTGGCGGCGCCTTCTTGAGGTCGACGGTGGCGAGATGGTGCTCGAAGGCGGCTTTGGCCTAGGGACTAGTTAGCAGCTAGCTCGTCAGCACAGAACGAAAATACCTTGAGGAACGTAGGATTTGTTTCCATGGGGGAAGGATAAAACCAAAGCAAGCAGGTTGTTGTCGTGTTTGAAGAAGCACAGTCACATTCTACAATTTTAACCTTAATTTATATGGAGGACTGCGGCAATACAAACCACACAGAAGCACATAAACACATACAAGATGCATTGTACAGCGACCAATATTGTCCGTTCTGTAGACGCGTATAAAAAACTTTTAAAAAAGGACAAGTGGCAGAAGATGCAAAACCGAGTGGCCTGTATACGCATTAGAATGAGGGAAACCAGGCCAACGATGGGCACACCTTTAGCATGTCGCGACCTACTGCTGTCCAAGTATTTGCGGGGGTACTTTCATAAACACGCTTGGGTGTTTGAAGCAACGTTCGTCCACCAGGCGGGCCAGCCATGAAGACCTCCATAGCTATTTGAGGAGTTAATATATGCACTACATCGGAAAAGAATTTCGCACATTTCTCCGCAGCGCGACTACAGTCCTCCTGGGTCCCGATACCGCTCCAGTAGCGATACGCCAGACTCATTTAGGCCCCTTGTCTCCAGCGTTGGCCGCAAATGTATAGTAGCTTGTCGCATGGAAAAAGGCGATGAACGATTGCGAGGACGCGTTTTCGGTGATGGTTGCGTGCGTGGAAAATGGGGCAAGAGCCAGTTTGGGATATGACGAGAAGTGGATCGTGGGTGGGAACTGCGAAACCGTTGGTCAGACGAAGGGCGAGTTTTGACAACGGTCTACACCAGTGATATGTGGGCGAGCGTGTATAGTGCATCGGTGGTGCCGAGCTCAGCAGAGTGCTTTAGCAGGTCGATAATTTTGACTGCCTTGCCCTTGCCTTCTTCCCGTTTCCACCTCGACCTCTGTCCACCGACAAAAAATAACCCGCTGGCAAACTGCCGCTGGAGTTTGATTGCAATCCGCATGGCGCTGGCTATCGGGCCTTGTCCTTGGAGGTTCAGGAGGAACGCGGAGAGTAGAGACTTGGAGTTGGACGGTTGGGTCAAAAAAGACAAGCCATATGTGTGCTGAAGAGAATTTGCGGTAGTGTCGATAGAGTGTAGAGTGCTTGTTTGTAGGCACTAGTCGCTAGAACTGCTGCAGCAACTTCAACGCGCGAAGGAGCATCCAAATAAACTTTCCGCGACCTGGTCAAGTCCAGCATTGGCCTAACAGGCATCAGTACATTTGTCGGTGCAAGAAGTTGACGGACTGAATTGGTTTCCGTGGTTCCAAGCCGAGGCTAGAGACGAGTCAGACATTTCCCGGCGGAGTATAGATATGGGTATTACCTCTGGCTTTGTGGAAGCGTGAGCACTGGACAGCGCGATGAAGACAAGGAAACCAGGCGTAATCGACACAATGTACCGATTTCTGTGTCGTACCATCTTTTCAAGAGGAGGGCTGAGTTGAGGGTAGCTGCCTCTAACGATGAGTAAAGGTGAGAAACGCCGAAATACGCGTGTGCTACCGTCGCCCAAAGTCTTGTTTTTTCAGTAGATATCTGTCCCGGGGGCGACACCCATAGCCTACAGGGTGGAAAGCTGTCAATAGAGGTCAGTGGTGACCGTTCTAGCCTAGCGCCAGGTAAGACACACCTTCATTCCAAGAACAGACGACCAGTTGTATCTCCCGCCTGCAATGAATGAAAAGCCTTCCGGCATCGAGTTCTCTGGAATTGGGCTGCGCAAGAAAAGCGACGTGTGCGTTTCATGGGAGCAATCGTTGGGACGGAATGGCCTTGGGGGGTGGATTCAAACAACCCGTCGCCTCTGCACTACGTACTACAGTTAGCGGAGGAGCCTGAGATAAGTCTGCGGAGGGTAGACCACGGACGCACCGACTTCAAGGTAAAAAGAGCCCATGTTGTTGAATCCCGTTTTTAGTCGCGACCCACTTGAAGGACACATGAGTGTAGAAAAGAGGGAGAAAACGATCACTCCACCATAGCAATGATCTAGTATTCTGGTCGAGCGAATGAGTGGTAGTCGAGGCATTGGCATATTGCCCCCAGAAGCCTCTTTATGCATGAGTCAGTTTTGAGCAGCAAAAAAGAGCGGCACACACAAGCTGGATCCTTCAGCAGTTCAGCAGTGCAGACTCCAGAGTGACTGAGCGCTGGTGGCAATCGATTTCTCGTTGCGAATAGTGGTCGTATGCGTGAAGAGGGACTGAAGAAGGAGGGTCACGCGAAGTCACTTTGCGCTTCCAGTTACATAGCGATATTACAAGTGTCCATAGAGACATTACTTATTATACATGGGAGGTAAACACAGAAGAGGAAGGTGTTGATGCGTCGCGGCCGACATCTTTTGTCTCTATCGAGTGACCCAAATCCGACGAATGTTTGGTACTTTTCTCATCCACAGATTCAAGCGGGTTGATGCGCGACTCGGATTCAGACCCCTGCACATTGACGGACAGAAGAACTGTGTCTCCACCATCCACTGACGACAGCATAGTCGTCCCTGGGGCAAAGCGGAGAGTCGAGCGGCGCGCTACGGGGCCGACAGGCGGATGGCTCGTCCCCAAAGTGACCGTTGCATGCCTGGCCTCGAGAGACCGGTTGTGGTGAACGCGAATGAGTATTAAATTGAAGGCGATTGCGACCACTTGAATGTCCTAGGGATGAAATTGAGCCGTGGAACAAGCCCGCAACGAAAAAAAAACTACACACGATCCCTGTAAGTGGAGAGAATACCTGGCTGCCGGTAATGTAGACCACGACCGTAATAGCCGTGACTGTCGTAGACAGCAGTCCCGATTCGATAATTACGCGCTGGGCGTTGCGGTATACGTGTCGATTGGCGACATTCATGAGCTGTAGATTGTTTCGGTCGACGCTCCAGATGCGGTAGATGATTAAACCTTCGGATTACACTGTAAGTTTCGGGAGGGGAGTTGATTGTTTAGTACTCACCAGTCGTGATAATGTTAATGGAGATCGTCATAGCCCACGCAGCAATGGTGAGTTGGAAATAAGGACTAGCCAGCTGAGCGCCGGAGGGGAGGGTGATCTGGAAGAAGATAACCAATATGATAAGCACGATGCCGCAGCATGCAAGCACCAGCGGTACGAGAATAGTCCGCCATGATCGACTGTAAACAATGAAGCAGCGATAAATGAGCATCACGTCCCCAAGGATTATTTGAACGATAACATCGACAACCTGGGAGCTTGTCAGTCAGACCAAATGATTCACTAGTTAGACTGCACGTACCCCTATGATGTCAATCCATCCAGAAGAGTTAAACGAGTTGCCTGGCCCATCACGAGCCGCAAGGGTATTGAGGTTTGCGGCCATCGTCATAACCAGATCGAGTGTGCCAATACACGCCATAAGCAGAACGACACAAAGCATAACTTTGCTTATTTCTGCGGCTTTCTTCCAGCGATCCTCCACCCGCAGAAGACATCTCAGACAAAACACGAGCGAAACGACGTGCAAGCCCCAGAAGATGGACTCCACCAGCAGTGTGTACAGTTGCGCTTCTGCCTGCGATAAGCTGGTAGACGGCATCGAAGAGGATGAGGAGGATGAGGCGGTCGTGTGCCCCAATGCCCATGATAGACTTGAAATACGCCCGCTTCCAGGGGACAATCATTGATATGTCGCGATAGGCTTCTCTGACCACGAAGTATTTCCGTCGTATGACGAGCGCGAGTCTATGCACATAATGAAACAATCAGCCCGTTCAAGGAGATTTGTGCCACAGGAAGACTGACAGGCACAGAGAAGTTCGATGAGCTTCTTGGAGTGGCTGAGTTCGCATCAAGGTGCTGGTGTGTCGGAAGCAAGTTCTTCGGGAGTCGAAGTAGAGAAAGGGAAACGCGTTAAATCCCTCTTTGGTTGACCATGACAGTCGACGACAAGAATATTTGCCTTAGCTCAGCCGCGGCACGTGTCACATTGTGTCAGCTCATCTCTCTTCTCTTTGGTCCACCACATCATAAACCTAGTGAAGGCTTATTTTAGCCCGAACTATTCTCGTCGTCAGAAGTCAAGATATTGCACCCCCTTTCAAGTTTCTAGTATTTGCAATTTCCCAGTATATCGTTGACGGAAGAACTTTTCACTTCAATTAAGGTCTTTTCGGCGAACGCCTCGGCCATATGTGCATGTCAGGACTCCAAACGATGGATATTCGATGGCCCTGCATTAAACTGTTGCGACCTCCAATCCTGCAAGTTATCTGATCATCCGGAATACCTCAAGCAAAGCGAGAAAGAGCTTTAAAACGGCGCGCAAAGTCGACTCCTCCTCAGCAAGCCATCGCCTTGAAGCACTCAAAATGCGCTCGACCACAGGAATCTTCTCTCTTCTCGTCGGGTTCTCCCTCCTCTTCAACATCGCCAGCGCCTCGTTCATGCTCTATGAGCGGGACATCGAACCGGCCGAAATTGACCTGCAGCTAATCACCAACGAGCTCGACTTGCTCGACCTCGACCTCATCCTTCTGAATGCCACCCAGTTCAATATTACTGGCCCAGAGGTCTGTCTTTTTCCGTCACTTAAATATCAAACCTGACCACGATTTTATAATGTAGCTTGATGCGCCGACACTGGTCGCGGTAAGTATCATCCTGCGCGGCCAGGTGGTTGATATCCCATCTGACCCGAAATCCAGCAAATCAATCAGGAGTTCACGACTCTGGACCAGCTGACTCTCGGTGCATCTATGCGAGTTATGGTCGGTGACACTGGTGTCCGATAGGCGCAGACTAACACAACTCCAGGCTTGCTTTTCGGCCAACGGACCGGCCACCATCGAGGACGCAGACGGATTCATCCACCTCGCCCAGACCGGCTACATCCCCATCATCGAGGACATGCTCAACCGCACCGAAGGCCTGCACCCGTTCTTCTCTAAAGACGCGGCGAATTTGGCGTCCCTCCGCAACGACCTCCGGCTGTACAACCACTCCAACTCTTTGTATCTCGCCAACCTGACTATCGCCTCAGCCGTAAGTGCATTCCGCAGGAGCCCGCAGTTGTGCTGAGTGCGGCGATTGTGTAGCCTGAACTGCTGCCCGTCGTCCGAAATATCACGGCGAACATCACTCGAGCGTTCCAAGAGACCTTGGCCGTCTATGGATTGTTTTAGAGATGACTTTAGAGATACTGCTTGTTGTATTCATCTGTTATCGCAATGTTATCGCTATCGAGATTTTGCACGTGGGCGGATTACCAATGCATCACGTCAGCTACCTTCGTTGACTCCAACGGAGTCCAACCGACGAACGCGCTCATTGCGTCCCTCTCTCATAATCTATTTTGGCTGAACTTTGCTCGCGCCTTGCTGTCCGGCTTCAGTATCGATATGCTCTACCACAACATCCAGGCTAGGAAACAATATCTTCAAGGTTTCGACCATTCTTTTCGGTTTTTTTAGCTTCTGTCGTCCAGTAAACGGAGCCCAAGAAGCTCGAAAAACCAATCCAATTGCGTCAAAGCCTCATCTCAGCAAGCTCTACGTATGCTAGTGCTGTACTACTACTTATGCGACATTCAATATGCCGAGGTCGAAACCACACCATTGGTGTATGCCAACCACGACGGGCGGGCCGTCAGCTCATTGAGCCATCTTCGAAGAAGAACTCAGAACGAATCAGTGGGACTTCAAGGACAATACGAACCTGGCGATGTTGGGATGCTTCGTCAAGACATCGCTGCCTTCCGCCACAAATGCGCCGTAAGGGAGGTGGAAAATGTCCGCGAGGGTGATGTTCTAGCACGGACTGGTGAGTGAGATATCTTTACTGAAGATGAACTAACATCTCCCGCAAGGTAGCGCGTTTTCCCAAGGATGGCCTCGTAACCTGGGACACGCAGCTCGAGCTGCGGAAGATTGGCGTCGACGGCCTGCTGGTCGAAGCCCCAGCCGAGGCGTCTTCAAAGTGTCAGATTCCTCAACACGCTATACAGAGAGAGCGCCAAACCGCTTGTAGAATTCCAACCCCACTTTACTCGCGGCTGGATCGAAGTTAGCCTGCTCAAACGCAGCCGCCTGCTCGAAAAGCGCGTTCTGCTTGGGATCCGTCGGGAGCAGGTTGTTGCGTGGGTACTTCGCGGCGAGGTAGCGGCAGATAGCGCGCGTTTCGAAGAGAATGAAGCCGTCATCGTCCTGCAGAATTCACATCCTTGGCTGAAAGTAACAACGCAGCGACTTACGATGTATGGAATCTGCCCGAACGGCTGGTGCTCCATGTACGCTGGTGTCTTGTGCTCCTTGTTCACGATATCGACTTCGACGAGCTCGAAAGGGACCTGGAGCTCGTGGCAGACGGTCGCAACGCGGCGCGTGCAGGTGGCGAGTTTTGAGCCGTAGATTTTAAGAACCATGTTGTGGGGGGTGAAAGGTCGCTTTCAATGATTTCTTCCCAGTGGTTGTCTGACCCTTTTAAAGAACTGGAAATTGTCTGACTAACGACCTTCCTACCACGTAATCACGATTGGTCGCCATCCACAAGACGGCTGTGCTGACCCAGGACCCCTCTGCCGATTCACCGAGGCGGGAATTCGTGGTGTCCCGAACTCTACACGAGTGTCGCGCACAGAGGAAATCCGACGATCATTTTGGCGCCGTCGGGATACCCGGTGGCCTTTGCTGATCTCGCGGTATTTTTAGGCAAGCTTGGCGTTACCAGGCTCTTTCCGTGCTCGAGTTATTGGCTTATTTCTAAGAGATGCTGACTGTCGGGGCATGACTCGGACAACTGGACGGCAATTTGACTGCAGTATGCAGTCGTTCCAGTTAAGTCGATGTCCTACGTATCCATTAGGTGATTCACCCAAATTATACAGACTGTAACCAGAGGCCATCTCGCAGTACAGTGTTTATTTATTGGATACTGAAAGACTACTTGATAGCATATGTATATTGGAAGAAAAAGTGTGTCTGGCCACCTAGTGTGGATACAGTGTACATACTGTACAGCGCAAGCATTGGAGTCTGGCGCGACCTGGCGCACAGAGCGTCAACAAGAGTAAAAGTCGTTAGATCAGAAGCTATCGATACATGGACCCTGGCATTCCTAGTGAATGCTAGTCGTACAGTTTCATAAGTCGAGCCAAAAAAATTACGCAGAATGGGCGAAGGCGATGGTAGAGCAAGCGAAACAAGGTAACCTAAGATGGGTGCATGTCAGGCGGTGGTAGTGAGCAGTGATAGAATGCGACGAACCGTTCTCTGGTATAGGGAGTCGGATTGGCAGCGAATAGTTAACGTTGGAAAGATTGGATGCGCAAAGAGTGGGAGACGTGCGCAAAGAGCCACAAATAAAGTTAGAGAGGTCGATGGCGGGGAGGGGTGGATCATTGGATAGGTTTCTAAGCTGCGGTGAGAAACAGGGATAAAACAATATGTGAGAGCAACGCACGGAGACATCTTGGTCCAACACATAGCAAGCATCAACGCGGGACCATGTTAGGCGATGATGCACGTGTAGGAAAAGTTGCCAGAGGCGCTATCGGCATCGATGGGGACACCGTTTTGGTCGACAGCCCCGCCGCAGGCGAGGTACATGGCGTAGAGAGCGCTTTCGGACTCCCTTTCAGCGTCTTCTTGTGCATGAGTTTGAGTGGTGACCGAGCAGGCAGCAACGAGTTGGGGATTGGAGCCAGGCAGAGCGAGGAAGGAGACCTCGATGTCAAGCGGCATGGTGGAGGTGGTGGAGAATTGGTCCATGGCAATAATAGATAGAGCGAGTGGAAGGGGACCTTGGAGTGATGATGGGGGTGGCTGGGGGGGTGGTAGATTGAGGGCAACGAAGGCGAAAGCAAGAGTCCGTTGGGTGCAAGAGAGTGCAGGTAGGGCTGGCGAAGGGGGGAATGAAAGTCGGCTTTTATTCATTCCATTGTTTGCCTTGGCTTATTATCTTGGACAACAAGGGTGGCAAATGCTATTGTGGCACCCTTCGCATTGTCCATCGGCGCAGCGGCAAAAGCGATATGCAGACGGCATGACCGTCGGAAGGACGAGTTGTTTTTGCGCATTGTCCTAAAAGGGAAATTTCGTGATGGCCGCACGAAGCCGATGCAGCGAATAATCCTGAACCCATTCCCCATTGTGCGACATATGGGGAATCGGGTTCGATTATCACACTCAGACCCGGACAATGGTCAGTGAGTTGATATACGTGTAATTACTGATTGTTCACGCATTTCGCCAGGGGGAAGGGAGATTCTTTACTTTGTGGGGGAGGAGAGATTCATTAATTCGATGCACTAGCACAGAATACGTATGTAGTCGTCTACGGGTACAAATTGTCTTGAATGGCGAAGAGTTGCTAGAGATACAGTAGGCATGAGTGTACGTGAAATGCTTCAAGCGTAAAACACAGTCAAAAGTGGAAAATGGTGGTGGGGCGAAAGAACGCAGCAAAATGAGGAAAACCAAAGAACGGACAGCTATGTTAAGCCATGTCGATCGTGTGTGGCGTAAGATCCAAGGAAGGTAGCTGGGGCTTGTGTTCGGGGTGGTAGCATGCAACAATGGTCGAGAATGAGGTCGCAGAGGAAGGAGTGAGCGGGATATCGGTTTCAGTGACCGATTTGGCGTGAAAAGAGGCGGGTGTTGCAGGGGCATGCGCCTCTGACGAGGTTGAGAAAGAGTCCTTGTCCAGTTGAGGGAAACGGGGTAGATTGAAGGTTGGCATTGAAGGAACACGGGCCTTCTTGGGTTTGGGAGGAAATCCGACCATTTTTCGAAAACTAGCAAACGCAGAGCGGTAACCAGCCATCGCATCCTGACCAAACGCAAAGAATACCAGAAATAGCAGCGCCGTTGCGGGCATCGACCAAAACGTAAAATAGGCCCAAGCCCAATGATTCGCTGGAATGAAAGCGCGCGGAAAGACCCCGATATAGCCGAATCCAGCGTGGACATCAGCCCAGGACGTGTACGGCAGTAAACCGCCTCGAATTGTGAGGAGCAAGTTCGCCAGGGTGAGAAAGGTGGCCCACACCATTTGGACCAGAGCCATAGCCATGAGACGAAAATAACGGGACGGCGTAAGGGCGGAGGAGGAGTCCTGGAGATGGCGGGCAAATGTGATTCGACGGCGAAAAAAGTGGTAAAGGGCAGCGGATGCAAAGATGAGGGTCGCGAAGACGACAATAAGAACGGGAACGTGGATGACCAAAATGGCTGGCACCGACACGTAGACAGCGGGTTTGCATCCAAAGTCTTGGACGATGTCAAAACGATGGCCTTGGACGATATAATCTGAATGCTGATTAAGTTTTGTAGAATTAGAGGAGGGGACAATGAACTACGCACGCAACGCCATACTGAGGATGGGCAGACCCCAGCACATTGTAAGGTCGAAGAACATCCGCCGTCGCTTTTGGCTGGGGGTCGACTGGACTTGACGAACGCTGGCGATACGTTCTAGATGTATGCATAAAGAGAGACAGCAGGCAGGAAGAGCCATGGTTGCTCCGACTTGCAATTTCGTGGCTGCGAACGATGTTAAGATACAAGTTGTCAGCAGTTGTTTGATAACACACCTATATCGCACCAGACGGGTGCGACTTTCCGAATGCTGTCGGCCCAGATAATAGCGCTGACTCCCAGCTGTAGGTTTGAGACAAAGAGCCATGCGACAATGGAAAGTGTGGGGATGTTCCGTGCCCGCCAGTGCCACGGCACTGGAAGGAGAACGAGGGCGGAAGCTAGAAAGGCGCCAATGGGAAGCTCGTAGTGCATTTCGGAAGCGTGAATGGTCGTTGGGAGAAAGCGACTCATGAGTTGAAAGCCATCCTTTTAAGAAGAAATCCTCATTGTGCTCCAAAGCCCATTGTTCGCCAAAACCGTCGGGAACCCTTTGGTAGCCGAATGAGAAAGGGACCCATGGCAAGTAGAGTGCTGCTTCTAGAGAGCTTCGACGTTGCTGAAGGTTACGCCCGTGGCAAGGATCCTTGAGCTTGTCGTCGGCTGCGACCTGCTGCGACGATGAGAGAAGCGTGACGTGACATAGAATTTCGTGACGTGACATGGCGACCACCAAACAATTAATTCATTCTGAAGTGCCCACTTAGCAGTTGAAGATGGCTTGTAAGCCCTTGAGACATCTCAATCCTATTAATGCTCGCCAACTGTTGTATACTACGCAGCGGAGGCCCGGGCTTCGAATCAATTGATCTCCGCTCCGGACAAGACGATCGTTAACGTTCAAGTGGAGGATTGACAGTGCGTCCAATCTCATGGTTGGGCGGTGAGCTGAGGAGCTTCGGCTTCATACCCGAGCTGGAGCTATACATAGAACGATCAGGGGCATGCGCCTCGGCGGCGTCCCAAAATATTGTTCAACTGGACTTGGAATTTCAATTCGCTGCTCGAGTTGCCTAAAATCAGGCTTCTCCTCAATCAGAGTCGATCCGTCTCTAAAGCGGGTCTTCTCTCAACATAGAGCTTTTACAATTGCACCAGAGACAGGCACCGTAGGATGCGCGGGCAGAGCGCGACCTGATAGAAGAAGGTTGCCAACGACAGGTCCGAATTCAGTGAGCTTCGCATGACCAGCGCGGGGTACAAAAGTAACGAAACATGCTGACGGAGCGTCCGAGAGTATTGCGAGGAACATCCGCCTCGGGGCCAGTCAGACGATGCGTTATAAGCGCGATGGAGGTCCAGCCATTCTCCAGGCAAAGACATTGCTTCTTCGTTGCCCCAAACCGCGACTAGGATGCATTTCCGTGTTTTTATCCTCTCTGCTTTCTTGCTCCCATTCGCGTCGGCCACGATAGAGCTCTATGGCCAGTGTGGAGGCGACGGCCTTGCCTGGCCAGACAGTAGGCGTTTGTGTATTGCGCTATCTCCCAGCTAACAGCATCAACGTTGCAGCTTGCCGCGACGGTCTGAACTGTACCTATCTCAACTTCTGGTATTCGCAGTGTTTGGAGCCGGCAGCGGATGGCGAGACAAAGAGGGAAGCAAATCAGGCTTAGCGAGAACAGTTGTGGGCAGCAGTAAACAGTTTCCAGTGGGCATCGTAGTTGAGGGCAAAGTTGGGTCTAGCGAATGACATCATGGTTTCCTCCGCAGTCACGTGCTACGCAATTGGTTGACGACGGCTTTGCGACGGCTTCATTTGAAGTACTCGTTCAAGTTAATCCAGAGGCTGACCATGCCTATCCTGAGCTGAACTAGAGACTCGGAGTCCTGGAACTCTCAGAGGGACGCCCTGCGTTTGACCTTGCACGGTACGCCTCGTTTATTCAGTTTTCGCCTACTTTTCTCTGTTTCACGAGGCTTCACTATTAGACTTCACTTCGTCATCTACCCATTCCCGACGAAAACCATCCCACTTGCCGCGTGCGGCAGCTCGAAACCACAGACGCCAAAAACCGCAGACAATGACCGTGCCGGCTTGATGGATTGAGATATGGTGAAGGTATGTCTCCCATCCAGTGGTAGAGTCTTTTGTTACTGATCGCTCTTTGTTCCTCTCCAGTTCCTACCCTCGTACAACCCGAAAAGGCTACATATCTCTCCCAAACTTGCGCCCGAACAGGCAAGGACGATAAGCCGAATACATCCGACAAAGTTCGAAGGCAATGCATAAGTGTGCTTCATTGTTGCTGCTTATTTTCTGCATTCTAATTCACGTATACAGGACTGCGAGCACCTTTCCCCCATAAAATTAAACTGGTCCACGGGAAGAACACATTTGGTGGTTGGTGGCTGAAAGCGTGCTCTTGCCCCCAAAATAGGAGCTAATTTCTGCGAGGGAGAACATGATATGTACCCCAATAGGTCTGGATTTCGCCGTCTCGTCTCTGCTGCCAATTCTGATGTTCCTTTGCTGTAGCGTTCCGCACCGTTGGTGGAGGACTGGCGACAAGCTTGAGCATGCTCAGAGTGTTGGGCAAGTATCTGGATCGTTGGTTGTCGGTGGCTTGTTGGAAAGGAACTTCTGTGGGGCAGACACGCATGTCTTGGGTCCCTTTTGGATTCGAATCTTGAAACTGACATGGGTACCTCCAGCGCGGGCCCCTAACTTGTCGTGGTGCGTTTTTTTTTGGCTAGATTGAGTCAGTGATTAAAGCCCTTTTGACCAGCCTGATCATCCGGCTCGGTTTTGTAAGAGTCCTTAATGGCCGGTGTCAACTGGGCTATCGGACACATTTTGCATGTGGTTCTGCTGGCGGGCATAGACTCGACGGTGCAATATGATTGACAACGCAACTTTACAGCCCATACTACTCTTACAGGGATTTGCTGATTGTCCCCAGATATGTTCAGGCCATGAGGTGGCTTGTTTCGCTACTATAGTGGTTGCATTACGGTGGCTTTGCATCATTTCCTGCCCATACAGCATTTGTTTAGGGTTTGTCTGCCTCTCAATTCCATTTCCTTCTCTGATTGCGACAGAGATTGTGTAGTCATAGCCAATCTCTCCCCCACATCACAAGCCCTAAATCGACTCGAATTTTACGCAATTCCGGGCAGTTGCGAAGGGATTCGAAAAACTCAGGGCACGCACCTCCGATGTCAAGCAAGTCGGCATAGTAAGCCGATGTAGTAGCTGTTTTGACGATGTGCTAATGTTTTAGCCTCCGGCACGGTTTATTGCCACAAATCATACGGACATTATGCCTTGCGTGCGGTTTAGTGAGCTCGGAACAAAACTACGGAGCCGGATTGCGACCCGGAAGTAGTAAGGTCCGGCTATACCGAGTGCTCATCGCAGCTAACCATCTTGTAGGCCCGGAAATTTTCTCTCACCAATATGATTGACAGGAGGGACAATCCCCGTGTCTCACTTTCCGAGACGAAACCCTTTTGAGACCGCGGAAGCAAATCGTCCTTAAAAAGCCACGTTGTGGATTCCTCCTGTCTCCAAATCACTCTTGCTCAAACCACCATCTACAAACCACTACTCGTTAGCATCTGACCCATTCATCATGCCCTCCCAATTCTGTGCCTCGCGCTCCCTCCCTAACTTCACGGGAACTGTCCTCGACAAGAACCTCAAGCTCGTGGCCGTCCTGGGCACTGGCGCCTTCGGCAAGGTCTATAAAGCCATTGACCTCGACTCCCCCGCCGACTGCCCCACGTTCTACGCTGTGAAATGTTTGAGGCTGCAACCAGTGGGGTCCCACCAGCGTCAACAACAAGAGCAGGAGATCAGATACCACCTGGCCGTTGCCGAAGACCCTCGGGTCGTCTCGCTGCATCGGTATTTTACGTCTGGCGAATACCTCTTTGTGGTCCTCGATTATGCCGAGACGGACGTTTTGGAAGTTTTGGCCAATGAAAAGGTGTTTCATCGTCGACCAGACCGCGTAAAGGAGGCATTCGGAGAGATACTCGATGGCGTTGAAGCCCTCCACCGTCAGGGTATCTACCACCGAGATATCAAGCCCGACAACTTGTTATGTGACAGCGACGGCAAGAACATCCGCATCGCGGACTTCGGTCTGTCCACGAAAAAAATACGTTCTTTGCTGCTCGGCTGTGGGTCGCCCGGGTACATGTGCCCAGGTGTGTCTTTATACTCTTTTCCCTCTGCGAATGATCTAATTTCGCTTTATAGAATCACTCGAACGAAGCCACCCAACTGCCCTCGAAGGCTACTCACCCAAAGATAACGATATATGGGCGGTTGCTGTTCTTTTCTGCAACTTTGTCGCTGGCGTAATGCCGTGGCAGAAAGCGCTCGTCTCAGACCCGGCATTTAAACACTTCATTCACCATGAAGACCACCTCATTCACGATTTGGGTCTGACAAAGGAGACCAATGCTTTGCTGAGGCGCTGCTTCCACAAAAACCCGCAGATGCGACCCACTCTTGCGGAGTTCCGGTCTGCTATCAATGCGATGGAGCGCTTTACCCTGGCGGACCCCCTTCCTTCATCCACCAATGCTGTCACCTCAAACAAGCAGCCCATGGAAGGTGGCTCCAGCTCTTCTAGTTCACGGCGAAGCGATGGATCGGAAGAAGAATACTCTACTCCACCCACTTCATGCATGCCTTCTTCGCCTTCGCAGTCGCAAGCTGATGCGTCCGCCCGACATGCCCCTAAATCCGGTCGGACTCGGCGGTTCCCGCGCCGGCTTTTCAAAGCCAAGGGCAAGCATACGCCCAGCCCTTCGCCGGAACCGAATACTCCCGCGGTCCAGATTGAGCGTCGCAAACGGAGGTCTTCGCTGCAACTGCTTGCGAAAAATCTTGGGCTGTCGTGGTAGATCGTGGTGTCTTACTATTCGCGCTCTCATTGGCCTTGCTTATCTCATCACATGCTGCATGGACTGTTTTGAAGCAGGTTAGATATCCAAAAAATTGTCTTTCTTACATACCCAATTGAACAAAAGTTTTGAACACTCTGCAATGTTTGACGGTAATCATGGCTTATTGGCCGCTGGCGAGCGATATGAGGGTAGAAATCGAGAAAAATCTATCATTTTGTGCATGTCTGAATCAAATATGATCGGTCACGTGAATTTGTGGCTTCTCTTTCACCAACCACGACAATACCGCTGCCCATGGTCCCTCAGCTGCCTATAGAACTTTGGGACAACGTAATTTCCCTCCTGGATGTACCTCAACAGTCCCTTCTGGCCCTCTGCCGTGTCTCTCACACCTTCAATACAGTCGCCATTACGCATTTCCTCCTGCGCGAGGAAGTCAGCCATCAATCGCTAGCAGCGCGAGAGATCGAGGTTAACGTGCGACAATCCCCTTTGATCCTCTCCGCATTGGCCATGTCGCACTCACTGCACCCCCTCCGCCGTCTGGTGTGTAAACAGACGCCAACATATGCAAACAGCAAGCTTGGGGAGCGGCTGCAGTGCATCCAGCGGATCGTTGACAAATCGCCAAACCTTGGAGAGCTCGTGATTGAGTTTGACCGCAATGTCTTCAACTCGGCAGCTGTTGTCGCAGCCCCGCACCTCCTCCGCACGCTGCTACATCGATTCGTCCAGACAAGGGCAGGCACGGTGGCAGTCTTTAACGGGGCGCTCGCCTCGCGCTGCCTGGCGGAAGATGTTCTCCACTGGAAGTTTGACGATACTGTGGAGTATACGGGGAGTGGCCCGCGCCGCGGGATGCGAAAGCTCTTTGGCGCAAATCAACCGACGCCGAAGCATGGATATGTTATCTTGCGCGATGATACCCTGTCACGCACGATGGACCCGGTCGCCTCTCTGGCTGGGGTCTCACTCAAGCGCTTGGCCACACCTAGCTCTTTATCGCTACCGGGGACAATCATAGAGCTAAATCCTGGCCGGACGGCACATCTAAGTCTTGGACCAAAGGATAAAGTGCTATCAATGTCTTTGACAAGTGCAGAACTCGATGTCGTTCTTCCCAATCAACGCATCCGCGGGCTCGTATTCCTCGATATCACGCTGGGAGATATCAGCCCGCCAGCCCTGAGTAGCTTTCTGGAGCAAAACCGGACAACGTTGCGGCAAATTACCTACAATCCTGTTCAGGGTAGCTCTGGATCACTCTTGACTTGCCCGATCGCCCTTCCCGCGCTGGATTCCCTGCATACGGCGGATCCCGTGCGCTTAATTGAACTCCTCGACGCGTTTGGCAGCTCGCCGCAGCTACGGTCGCTCCACTTTTGCTATCCAGAAACCGGCCCAGAGTCCCTTACGCCCGTTCTCGCACGCATCACTCGCCATCAGCAAGACCTTGCGCTCCATCTCCGGCAAGGCGATCCTGGTGCCCTGAACGTCGATGCAACTCCACTTTCAGAGGCTTGCGAAACTGCCACCCGCGCCTTGCATCACGTGACGCACATCGATATCGAGTGTCCCGTCGTCGCGTCAGCACACACCCGCGCTATGATCCCGTGGCTGGCGCTGTTTCCAGCGCTTCAACAAGTCATCTTCCGCAGTGTGCAAGGTATGTTCCGTTGGGGCCCGCAGCGACAGGACCCGCAACCCGCGACAGTACACTTCCTCGAGCATGCGATAAGGGAGTTGCCCAATGTGAAAGAGGTTCTAGTGAAGGAGGTGCCAATTCAAGTCCAATTACTGTATTCTGCTGAATGATTTCTCAGGACTAAATCAATATCGATTCCAAGCTAAAGGAAAAACGAATACAGACACTACATCATAAGTGTCATGCTTTTCTGTAGTAGGAAGGCAGATAGCGCAGGAGATTGAGGAGGGGGAAGCGTGCGGTGACTCGTGAGGAAGATGCATCGGATGCACACCAAAAGAGGGGATGATGTGCAGCTGAAAACGAGCAACTTGAAATCGATGGGGAAAGTGAATATAATACGCCGCCAAGTTTCTGTAGTTGGCTCGCCGGTCAACAAAAATCGGCGCGTATAGTTGGATATAAGTAAGTATCAGGAGAGCCATGAACAACTGGTTTCGAGAATGTATAGGCTTGATATACAAATGGCGACAAGAGGCAGATGTTTCTCAATTTGGGTTTTTGCGGCCCCAATAAGTACCCTTGCACGGAACAGGCTACTATGCACCCAGCTGTTGCCTTGCCCCGGTAATTTTCGAGCCAAGGAGTGATTCACTGTCACGCATCACACCTCTCGAGGTCAACGACGACGAGCTCAACATCTACACCGTCTGCCTGTCCCCAAACCCGCTCTCGACATCAAGAAACATACTCAATACTCGGGAGTCTACTTTGTCGTCCGTCACCCACCGTTGTTGAAGCTGCGTTCGCGTCAATTCTCCTGCATGGAAATACGGAATACGGCTGCCGAAAAGTTGGATGTCCAATGCAGCAACGGAGGGCTGGCTTCGTTCGTCTGATTTGTTATCTCGGTCTGCTTTATTCCGGCCCTCTTGTAGTCTCCTCTTTGGATTCGCTGCGGTCCTCTTCAATTTCGCTCAACACACAAAGACCCAATACGAAGCAACGGAGGGACTCTGTCGAAGTCGGATTCATGACCTGACCCTTAGATTCTCGTCGCTCAAATTCCACCGCTGCCACACCCCTTCATCTCGCAACTTCGTTTTCAATCTGCTTCATTTCGGCACGGTAGAATCATGGTGTAAATATGCAATAACGACGCGAAAAGCGTTCTAAAAGGGGTCCGTGGTGCTATTCTACAGTATGCGATATGCTAATCAACTTCCTTGCAGTCGGCGCCTTCCCCTCTTGATTCCGTCTACCTGTTATCGTCAGGGCTTGTTAAGGCCCTCCCATTTTGATTCTCGATCTGGGTGGCGCCAGCAGGATTGACGATGACACCGTTCCTTTGATTCGAGGAGTTGTTGCCCAGCACCTCCATCGGTATCATCTCATTCTCCACGTGTGCCCTCCACCTCTCAATCGCCTGCATGGGGCCAGGAGAATTGTCCACGACATCAGTCCTCTGATTTGAGCGGTTGTTACCCACTGCCGGCCTCGGTGTCAAGCCATTCTCCGGTCGTACCCTCCACCTTTCAACCACCTCGTTCACAAACGGCTCTGCCATTCCCTTCCTTAATCCAAAGCATATCATCCACCACCAGCTTTTGCAGCCATCATCAATAAATAACTGTACTTCGGAGTGCACCTGGGCCGCTGCTCCAGAGTTTTGGTATTCCTCAAGCGCCTGATTTAGATCCGCGTCTGTCAACGGGTGCGGGCGACTGACATGGTTCAGAGTATTGCAGAAGATGCGGTCCAGGAGGAGTATGAGGTGGATGGTGTATTCGAGGAAGAAGCGGAGGGTGTTAGGACTGGTAAGTGTTATTGGTGTGTGGCACAGCAAATGAACTGCTCACACTCTATACTTGAGCCAATAAACCAATTGTCCCAGCAACAGGAAACCACAAACGACCAGTGCAATACACAGGCGGCTCTTATATGAGACAATACCTCCCACAAAAAGTGAGAAAAGGGGTTGATATCGGTCGAGGGCCTCCCTGGGCTGGCTAGTAAGCTTCACTTCACATTGTTGTACTCATGATGCTTACCCCCATGAAGATTTGTCGGATTCCGGGTGGTGGACGTTGTAGGCCGTTGACAGTTCATGGACTTGAGAAACAAAAGGGGGAGCATCTCGTCGCTGCAAGTACTTAGCAGTATTCCTATTCTTGAAGAAAGAGCTATCTCACCATACGAGGATCATCCATCTTCCATCTTCGCGTGAGGGTCCGGTGGAGTTGGTCAAGCATGTTACCCTGCGTGTGCCAGGGAATGTTACTGAACGCCCCCCCAAGTAATAGACTGGTATATCATCAGCATTATTCATGAAATCTGGCCGTTCATACCATCCATCATAATTCTGGGATTGGGCGTGAGCTGCTTTTGCCACAGGACTAATATGAACACTGACTTGAGAGCCTCCGCAATTGTTTTCCGAGAACCATCTATGCGTGTGCGTTCTACTTCCCACAGCTTGCGTTCGACGTATTCGTCTCCCAGTTGGCATGTTGTTTCAAGCAGTTGTCTGATAATGCGTCGCGAATCCGCATCCAAATCACTGGTCTCCAGGCCTATAGATATTGTCAAAACAACACATAAGGACAAAGAAGAAGAAAGATCAGACCTCCAGTGCGAATATACCAGGGTACGTTCTCCAATTTGTTCAGTCGAGCAACACATGTCTCCCAGAATTGCGACTCCGCTCGTTGAACCGTTAAGCCACCGTCCGCTATTAACTCATCCGAGATGATGTCGGGCAAACTCAATCTCTCTTCCAATTGTGCGACAAGCCCGTCGAATCGGGTAAACACCACCATAATCGGCACTAAAGATGGTTCGATATGACCAAGAAGACTCAAGAACTCGATATATATACCCTTCTGTGAGGCCAAGAATGCAAGCTCTGAAGGACCCAGAACTGGACGATCCCCAGACAATGGGACCTGGATGCAAAACCTGTTCCCATACTACTTAATGGATTAGGACTTGGCGGTGAAATTCTCTCACCAAATTATATGAACTTGGTCCACCAACGGCTGGCCAGCGACCTTTTGGTCCAAAAAATCCTTTAACTTGTCCAGTGTGCTGTCAAAATCTGTAAATGCGCGGAAAGCACAGTAACCTCAGTCTCCCGCTATATGGGATCAAAGACTGTATTAACTACCTGTAAATGCGCGGAAAGCGCAGTAACTAAGTACAGTAAGTATTTATATAAGTTAAGTAAGTAAAGTAACATACCCTCAGTCTCCCGCTATATGGGATCAAAGACTGAGGGGCAACGGAAAAAAGAGGTGTCAGTATATATGTAAATGTAATGTACCTGCTGACACTCCCGGAACTCCCATGGAGATCATTATCACGGGCCGGAGCCGGGGCGGACCGCCATCAATTCCTGACACCCCCACTCGACCCAGGCCGTAGTCCCATAGCTAGACAGAATTTGTAGTGCTGAGCATGGGGTAGAGACTTGGTGAAAATATCTGCCACCATATCTTCTGTAGGATACCAAACAACTTCACACTCTCCATGACGGACCAAGTCATCTCGGACAAAACTATATTTTCGATTTATATGCTGTGTTCGAGCTCTATATTGAGGATCTTTGGAGAGAATGATAGCTGCACGATTATCACATCGTAGTTCAGTAGCTCCCTGTTGTGGTTGACCTATTTCTTCAAAGAATGATCTAAGCCATGCTAAATGTTGTCCAGCATTAGCAAGTCCAATAAACTCGCTTTCTGTAGAGGATAGAGCTACAAGACTTTGTCTTCGGCTTGACCACCCAATAGCTGCTTTTGCAGAAAGAAATACATAGCCTGATGTTGACCTTGAAGTATCTCTGTCACCATTCCAGTCTGCATCTGAGTAGCCTATGAAGTTTAGATCCATGCCTATATCAGATCCATCATATGTCAGACCCCAATCTTTGGTAGTCTTCAGATATCTGAGAACTCTCTTGGCTGCCTCCCAGTGGCATGCTTTTGGATTTGCACTATAACGACCCAAAACTCCAGCAACATATGCTAAGTCAGGTCTGGTACCTAGCATTGCATACATGATAGACCCCACAATACTTTGATATGGCATAATTGGTCCATTTTGAACAAGCTGTTTCTTGTGGATTGTTTCATCATTTTCAGGATCTATAATAGACAATTGCTGTCTTGGAGCCATAGGTGTTTTGACACCATTTTGAGTATCCTGCATTCCATAGCGCTCTAAAACCTTGCTAATATGCTGGGCTTGACTTAGACGGATCCGACGCTGTTTGCGATCTCTAGTAATTTCAATTCCTAGAAGATATCTGGCTGGACCTAAATCTCTCATTTTGAATGTAGATTTTAATGTCTCTTTGATCTGTGCCATAAACTCTCTGGTAGTTGTGGCTAGAAGTAGATCATCCACATAGACTAGTAGGAAACAAGTTTGTTTTCCTTTCTGATAGACATAGAGACAAGTCTCAGCATTAAGCCTATGAAATCCTAGTTTTAACAGTGCTGTATCAAGAGTACGATTCTAAGTACGTCCAGCTTGGTGTAGACCATAAACTGAACATTTTAGAAGCCAGCAATATCCTTCAGGGAGATTTGCATCTTCTGGAGCCATCATATAGACTTGTTCCTGTAGTTCCCCATTCAAAAAAGCAGTAGAAACATCCATTTGATCTAGTTCAAGATCATATTTTGCTGCTAAGGCACAAAGGATTCTGATTGACTCTAAGTTTGCAGTTGGAGCAAAAACTTCCTTATAGTCAATACCTTCCTTCTGTAGATCACCTCTAGCAACAATACGGACTTTGAAACGAGTAATGTCTCCTTTCTCATCTGTTTTGATATTGGGAATAACCTTGGATTTTATTGGCTTGACTCCTTCAGGAATTTTTACCACTTCAATAACTCCATTTTCAATAAATGCAGAAATCTCTTCTTTAAATGCTGCTCTCCAATAGTCTTCATCTGGACCACTTCTAGCAGCCTCCCAATTTGGAGGATCACGAGGACTGCGAGTGGCATAAGCAACATCTTGCACATCTTCCAGAGTAGCTAAGAGGACAGCATGATCTGTGATATCAAAAAGAGCTTCTGGAATTTTATCTGCTTCTGGAGTTTGTACTGGCTCTAGATTTGGAGCTGAACGTAAACTTTGCGGACCTGAGGCAATCCGTTCATATTCAGCATTCTTATGTTTTGCAAGGACTTTAGGTCTATTGCTTCTCCTAGGAGCTATTTGCTCAGGAGGTATAACATTTGGCATCTGTGCTGGAATCTGTATAGGACCAGGGTTCTTATCTGGTGGTGGTGCTATAATAGAACCCCCCACTGAACTCTGTACTGGTGTAGATGGGAAAATAGGTATATCATCCTGATCATCATCAAAATATGGTGTTTCCCTCTTACGCAATATCTGTGACATGCGTTCAAGTTCATGTGTTGAATCATTCACAGGCTCCAGTTTAGGCTGATAATCAGTGAAATGATGATCATCATCAAACTTCACATGAGTGGCAGTGACAAGTTGTCCATAGGTTCCATCTTTATTGATAACTAAAAGATCATAGGCATTGCTGTTTTCATGGTAGCCAACAAATACACATCTTTGTGCTTTGTCCCCAAATTTCCTAGCCTGTTTTGCATCTGGAATTTTTGGATATGCTCTACAACCCCAACGGTACAGTTGTTTGATATTCACAGGCCGATCATACAGTATTGTATGAGGAATGCGATAATTCTTAGAAGCAGTTGGGGTCCTGTTCAATGTGTAGGCAGCAGCTAACATGGCCCAAGTCCAAAATTTACGAGGTAACCTAGAATCAACTAGCATTGTTATAGCTCTAGTCACTAGAGTTTGATTCATTCTTTCAGCAACACCATTTTGTTCAGGTGTATATGGAGCTGTAGTTTCATGAATGATTCCCTGGTTTTTGAATTCAATTTCCATCTGATTAGAGGTAAATTCACCACCCCCATCAGTACGAAAGAATCTAATCCAGCCAGGACAGAATTCCCAATTGGCAATATTTTGTTTGAAATGCTCTTCTGTGGTTTTTCTCCATTCCTTGAGTAACTTGTAGACTTTAGATTTCTTATCTGTAAGCAAAACCCAAGTATGTGATGAAAAATGATCAACAATGACAATCCAATATCTAATACCACCAGGACCTTCAGGTGTCACTGGACCTCCTACATCACATGAGACAATATCTAGAGGTCCACGAGCTACAGTTTGGCTGTTTGGGAAAGGCAACTTTTTCATTTTCCCAATAACACAAGATTCACAAAGTTTAGGTTGACCTGTCAATATTGTGATTTCACCAAGTTGACCTTTCTGAACTGCCTTCTGCAGATGTTGCATATTTGTATGTCCAGAAATTCTGTGAAGGTGGTTGATATCAATAGCAAATAGTGCTTGAGGATCATCCTTGAGTGATTTACATTTTACATGATAAAGTCCACCATGAGTAGTAGCTTCAATCATGCGTTTTCCAGAGGCATCTCTGACAATACATTCATCACCTGTGAAAATACAGTCAAAGCCTTTCTTGGCCAGTTGTCTCACTGAGATGAGTGTGATTCCAAAAGTAGGAATATGTAGTGCTCTAAGAGAAACAAGAGTTTTTCCACGTTTGGTCTGGCATGAATGTTTCATAATGCCTATACCTATGGCTTCTGCATATGAATTATCACCTAATCTGACTTTTTGTGGTGGATCAAGAATTTTATAAGTTCCTGTTTCAAACCAGTCTAGATTTGGAGTCATAGTGGTTGAAGCACCAGAATCTATAATTATGACCTCTTTTGCTTTCTCACTATCCTTAGCCAAATAAGCATGCAAAGCAGAATATGATTTAGCATCTACATAGGCAGTGGCAAAGCTAGCAGAATCTTCATCAGAATCCTCATCATCAGACTCTGTAGATTTATTGGCTTTGGCTTTAGCACCTCTCTTTCTGTCTTTCTTCCCTCCACTATTCTTATTATTGTCCTTGAGAAAACCCTTCATGACAGTGCATTCATCTGTATTATGAGAGTTATTTTTCCCATGTTTCAGACAGTATTTGGTGAACTTGGCATTGGAAGAAGCCAGGGATTTGGCAGAAAGAGCAGAGTTCTCTTGACTGTTGCCATCTGTAGGTTTTCTTCCTAAAGCAACCAATCTAGCACGGACATTATCTAGATTAATGCTGGTACCCAGTGATGTTGTGATGTTATCGCGGATACCTGTCCAGTGAGCATCTGTAGGCAATGTACCTAAGAGAACTAGTGGCTGAAGATCAGGAGAAATTCCATATTGAAGGGAGGAAAGTCTGTTGAAGAATCCCACAACTTGGGATATATGTGTCTCTATAACAGTACGTTCCACAATCTGTGGGTCTCCTTCAATCACCAGTTTGGTGTCAAAGAGATCTGAGAGAATTCCAGCTGCAGTTCCTGCACGATTTTCCGCTTCAAAGCGGACACGTAATTTGGCCCAAAGACCAGCAGCACTAGTATCATTGAGATATTCTCCTGATAATTCATCAGAGAGAAAACTATGGATAACACCTAAAGCTCTGCTGTTACGTTCCTCTGGTTGATCTTTAAATGGAACACCTGTAGCAGTTGACCCAGCAGTAGGAGTTGCAGCAGGGACTGCAGCAGTAGCATCAGCAGGAGTTGTAGCCTGGATGACTGTTGCTATCAGAGTGTAGACACCAGAAGTACGAAGTTCATTTATAGCTAAACGTTTGAATGTAGGCCAATCAGAAGCTCCAGCCAATTTGACCTTAGAAGTCTCCATAGCAAAAAACCTAGATGGTGCAGAATATTTTCTAAATGCTTCTAGCTTCAAGAGCGAGCAGTGAGTCTTGATAAGAGCAAGTATGTTGTCAGAGCTGTAGCGCTCCGGGGCCCATAACCTGTCAAAATCTGTAAATGCGCGGAAAGCGCAGTAACCTCAGTCTCCCGCTATATGGGATCAAAGACTGTATTAACTACCTGTAAATGCGCGGAAAGCGCAGTAACTAAGTACAGTAAGTATTTATATAAGTTAAGTAAGTAAAGTAACATACCCTCAGTCTCCCGCTATATGGGATCAAAGACTGAGGGGCAACGGAAAAGAGGTGTCAGTATATATGTAAATGTAATGTACTGTACTATTTAACTCAATTCGAATGCCATTCTTAGCGTGACATTCAATACGAAAATTTCAATTCGAATTATTGCCTAATTAGGCAACTCTTGGCGCCGGAGGCGCCCGGAAATGTCAAAAATTACCCTTTTGGGACGTCTTTTTGCTTAAATCTGCGTGACATGCGAAAAAAATTCGTATAAAATCGGCAGTGTGACGCGTGACATTCGAACTGAGTAAAATACTACAGTACCTGCTGACACTCCCGGAACTCCCATGGAGATCACTATCACGGGCCGGAGGCCGGGGCGGACCGCCATCAATTCCTGACATGTGCCAGTGTTAGAATTGGCGACGGTCTGAGGTTGAGTTCGATTGACACTGTATATGTAAGACAGCTCATGAATCATGAGACGAGGATTTCGCATTGAACTCAGGCCCGGTGCTACCCAACGATCATTGCCGGCGTGTGCCGTGATCCAGACGGAGGTTAAGCACTTCGAAAACTGATCAAGTTTGGGACTTGCCTGGAACTCTGACTCCGGTCCAAGAGCATGGCGCATAAGGGTCGTTTTACCAACTTCCCGCTGTATTGTTTGTGAGTGACGATACCGGATTCGACAAAGCTCAGCTTACACGGCCGATGACCAAAAGATGTAACCTTGAACAGGTTAGCTATAGCTCGTGATTGAATCAAGGAGGCGGCGTACTGTGGGCACTGCTCTGAGCTCCTAGAAGGGCTCCATGCGTACCTAACGGAGTCGTCTTCAAGTTCTGGCATTCTCGTAGCGAGAGGATGGCAGGAGAGAGGAAAGATGAGCAGTGTGTGGGCGGGACGTTGTCCTTAACAAAAACATGCAGCGATTATTTTCCCAAGCTGTCCCAACTTCGTCCACAGTGTGTGAACAAAAGAAGCATAACAACGTGTGCATGTCAGGGAAGAGAGTCGTTGCTTATTACATCATCATGTCGTTGTCCAAGTTCGGAGAGTGATCGATTTCACACACTCGCCTTTGCTCTCAACCTCCATCACCGAACGCAAGTTTAGACTTTATTTGTCTTGCTTGCCCTCCCCCCCAGCTCCTCCGCGATGAACTCAACCGCGTCTGCTTTAGATACGAATGATGCATTTATGAATACCGTCATCGATCCGAAGACACGTTTTCGCCAGACTCCGGAATCACGCCATCAAGAAGCGACAACTATCCCTGGTGCCAAAATCGCCAAACATCGGGTTTTAGTGGCAGGGAGACTACACGCTAGCAAAACGACACTTGTGAATGGCGCGGCTGTGTGTGGCACAACCTTTGAGGTAGAACTCTGTGTTGGTCGTCAATGTACGCGAACTGACGCAATGAAGTCTGGCAGAGAAAACATCGAGACGGAAATCCCGCAATCCTATCTCTTCTTGCACGACTCTGCGGGTTTTGAGGCACCAGATTCAAGCTTCCGGATAGTTACATCATTTCTCGCCAACCGTGGACTGTCGCGAACATTTTCGGAACGTGTTCATGCAATATGGTTTGCTCTTTATCCGTATTGGAGTCGTTGAAGAGAATTGAGCAGGTATTGCATATGCACCGACACCGCGATGCGCTTAGCGCCCGGGGATTTCTATTTTTTCGACAACGATTTTGCTCAACAAGGTATACGAGCAGCCTGTTTGAAGTTTCCAAGTTGGTTACTCACGACTTCCAGTCCCGGTCATTGTGGTTTTCACGCGATACCGCGGCCTAGTCACTACAGCATTCGCAGAGCTTAGAAGGACTCTCAATCGGGTAGAATCTAAAGAAAAGCGATTTGAGAAAGCTCGAGAGTTACTCCGACTGGGATACATTGATCGACTGAAGGCACTCCGGTTCCCTCCAACTGCATACGTTCAAATTGATGGTGCGTGGACCCATATCTATATCTGCTCCAATTATACCATCGTCGCAGATTTGTTGGAGGATAGCACCACCTTGGAGCATCTCATCCAGACGACACTTGCCTTGATGACGGAAGAGAATTTGAGGCCCATGGTTTTCTCGGTGCGACAAAACAACCTGGACCCTTTTATGGAAGCTGCGGTCAGCGCGTATGTTCTTGTCTATCCGATATAACTGAAGTTCATTGTCACTAAAAGAGCTTTCGATGCAAAAGACGGCTCCGGTAATATTAGTCAATTTCGAATGCGCGCTTCCAATCACCTTTGGCAGACCTCGCGTCCTGTATTCTACGACATTATCCTCATATCTGGGTACGATGCTTCCACCTGCCTAGCACCAATGGCTAATCAGTCCTTCAGAAAGTGGGTCCGTAATCTCGACTCTGTCGCTTCTGCTGAGATCGGGTACCAGAATGAAGTGCGTCGTTCAATTCTGTTCCATCATACGGCAGTGAAAACTCCACAGACAGTGAGTCAACCCCCATTTCATTGGTGCTCTTGCTAATCGTCGCATAGTATGTGCGTCCCTCATAGACTCATTTGTTCTTTGCCCATGTGTCATAGGATGTAAGTTTTGCGACACAAGCATGATCAGCGACCTATCTCAAACTAGGAGCCCGTTGATTTAACTCGAGCAATGGCTAGCCTGGTAATCAGCCTCACTTTATTCGGGAACATTATCTGACTGGTGCTTTAGAGCGACGACCATCTCGTAGGTCGTGTCTCTCTCCCTCATACTGGGTTTAAACTTTCGAAGGCGCGGGTGGCTGCGACCTGCCAGTCAAGCTTATCGGGGAAACATTCTACACGGGTAGCGTCATCCTTTCGCATCCAAAATTTCCGCTGAGTATCAAAATGTCGAATAGGATACTTCGGCATACACGAAACGCGCGGATGTGATAGCTAGTGCGTTTATCTAACCCGCTTCTCGTACCCAAGCCCACTGACTTATGCCCAGCTTTATGCATCTGTCTCGAACAGACTGCCCTAGAATCATCTGCCTCCATGGCCGACTTCCCAAGCGCATTTAACCAGGCGGTGGACGCGTATTTCGCCCCGAACTCCGTTGTGCGCGCCTCGGTCAACAAAGAGATCTCAAAACTCTCTCCGCAAGACTTCCGAGAGACACCGGACCCGGCGTCGGACCGGCCGACCCGCCTGGCCACCGCCAAACTGGTACACATAATAAAAACACATCGGCTGCGTGAGTGGTTCCACAATCTCGAATTTCGTCTCTGACACAGCAGCAAAATAGGTTTGACAACTTGACGCATGTTCGGATGCGCCGCCAGTGTAGATCTGGACTCGCGCTCTCGAAGATAGATTGCTATTTGACCTTGATGATGACTGGTGTATTTTGTGTTGAGGCTGTAAATCGGGTCGGAAATAACTGTAGCGCTTCCAGAGGTCCTAGTTGTATCAATATCCCACCCGATCTGGGTTAGAAAACTGTCGTATCGGGTCAAATCAGGACGGAGAATTTATCAGCCATTCAAATTCCTTCGGTTTCAACTTCAAACCTGGACAACTACATTCTTCGGTACTAGTCGTCAATTGCATTTGGAGACCACATCCGCCCAAGAGTACTCAGGCTTACTAGCCTGTCATTAACAGTGACCCGGATATGTTTTCTACAGTGGAAAGCGGGGAGATTCCGTTCGGATGCAAGCACCTCGTACTGTAAGAGAAACAATCTCAAAGCTTATCCAACTTACTTCAAATTCAGAAATGGAGAGAAAAGTCTTTCTCAAGGCTGCGTCTTTTTCTCGTAGCGTCAACCTCCCCCTTGAACATTCCAGTTCATATATATGACTGCAGTACAATCTCTCGACTTGTTGCATACCCGATGATCCCGTTCCCGACGTACACCTTCTCCGTGCTGTCCTCCGTCTCGTTCACCATGCCCAGCTCCTCCCCATCGCTTTCTGCCCGACTGAATGGCGGACGGACTCCACAAGCCGCGGCATCCACCACATGTCCGGAATACGGCACAAACGTTTCGCCCACCTGCCCTTTGAAGGTTTGAAGCGGCCCCCAGGACACCAGCGCTTGACCACTGGAGAAAGCCCGCTGTTGAGTGTGATGTCATACGCAACGAGCTCCCCGCCTGCATCGCCGTCTTCCCTCTTCTGCCGCACACTGTCGAGCGCATCGTCCAGATCGTCCCATGCAACATTGGCCAGCATCGGATCGTCGAAATATGTGGCTGGCCCACGAACAGGGGTCTCCCGCACCCAGATGCGATACGCGTCGTCGCGGAGGGGACTCGTGGACACCGAGAAACAGTCCATGTAGCGTGCGGCGGGGCGGGATAATTTTTCGCGTCGGCCATCACGGCCGCTTCGGCCGACGCTTCCCGATGGCCGCCACCGTTCTTTTCCCTTCCCCTTCCCCCGATTTGCTTTATACGAGCCGCGTCTGTCGCTGCCCTGCCCTGTCACACTCCCGGGCTCCCGGATACGAGGAGGCTTCGACACATTGAATGTCTTTAACTGTCGCGCCAGCACCCCCTCAGGCTCGTACTCATCCCAGTCTTTTGTTGCATCATAGTTGTCCGGAAGCCGGGTCCACAGCTTCTCCAGCGCACTATGCGCCACGAGGAGAAGCTCGTCTCCGCCAAATGACTTGCGAACGGCGGTCTTCAGCACGATATACCCCGGAATCAAGGCAACGCGGTTCCGACTCGCGCTTGGTGCGGCCTACAAAATCGCGATCGGTTCGCTGGCGACTTGAATAGCGGAAACTTACCCCCGCGGGCATGAACGCAGACACGAAGCTCTCGTCGTCGTCCGAAAACTGGCCGTGCACATCGATGAACAGGTATGCCCTGGTCGTCCAATCGAGCAGGTATATTCTGTTATCCCCGACCACCATGGCAGCAAGCGGACCGAGTATGCATGGCTGGGAAAACCCGTCTTCATCCGGCTCATATGCGGGGCGAGTGAGAATAAGACGGTGTTGTACACGGGTGCGCAGGTCTACTTCGACAACTTCCACAAAACTGTGAGGAGTGAGCAGGCGGTTACCGGCGTTTAGGTTCACTGCTCACATTCCACGGACACTGCAGTTCCTGCCAGCATGCAAGCCGACAACGACCCTCAGGGCCCCGTCCTCCCCTTCCTCCGCAGCGAAAGCCGCGACATCTGCACGCTCAACAGCGGCAGCATGCGTCCAGAGCAGCCTGCCTGATGCAGTATCCCAGCACTGCAGCCGCCGGTTGTTGCAAAACAGCACATATTTCCCGCTGGGCAGCATCTTGACCTCGTTCTCGAGGTACGAGTGCAGCCGGGGTATAGGCACCCGCAGCCTAATCTCGTGCCTGACCTCCGGGACAAGGTCACCGGCGCATGCCCAGGTCCGTGGGCCGTGAACCACACGCTTGACAAGCTCAACAAGACTGTTCGTCGACAGCGCGGCGAGAGGAGGGACCAGCGTCGCTGCCAAGGGGAGCACACCGTGTTGTTGCAGCCGCACACAAAGCGCGACCCAGAGTTCTCGCGCTCGCGCAAGTTGGTGAAATCGTCGACAGGTCTAAGTATTTCTGAGCCAACGTCTCCTGGATTGTTGTGTGCTTACCGTGCCGATGGCCAGTGCGCTCGCGACGTCACAGTGAGAGAAAATGGACCGCAGGATATCGGGTGGGATTTGGTAGCGGAGCATCGTCGTCGTGGTGAAAGGGAGAAAGGGGGCAATTTGCAAAATCAAGGTCGGTCCCGATTATCTAATCGGTTATGTATTGAGTGAAGTTGAGGTACAACAAATGAATAATATGTATGTGGATGCAACCAGTCATCCGGTGGAGTTGAAGTACAGCATGCTTACAGTTCAGAAAAACGAGGGCATAGACTTGGACCGGAGGTTTCCTTCGAAAACTTTTGCCCGATTGCCTTTGCGCTGACGTCTTCTGAGGGAACGGGACCCGCCCACCAGCATTCCCGAGCCAAACCGGCTCAGCCCCGGAGCGGCATTGTCTGTTTCGGCAACATGATCATGGCCAGGCGCGTCTGTTATCGGTCTTCCCTTGGCCCTGCGCCGCGCAGCTTTGCGGAGTATTTTGTCAAGAGTTGCCTGCAGCACCAATAAACGTCTAAGCATGTCAACAAAAAGACCATCCACCCAGAGTGATCCCCGTCGTTTCCGTGGGCACAACTCAGCCGGCTCTTCAAGTATAAGCTGTCTTTTGAGACCGTCTCGGAATCGCAGGTCGCCGTCGTCGACTTCATCGCTGAAGTTACGTGTCGTGACCTGGACAATGGCTGATGGAGGCTCGATGCGCGGCTGCAGGTCATGAGCAAGCACGAGCTGCCCTTTGTATGCGGGCGGATTGCGGAATCTCAGATCGCTGTCATCATCATCGTCGTCGTCGACAGAGGTATAAGCAACAACAGTCCGACTGTGATTGACGTGGGTGGGCAGGGCTGCATTGTCGAGCAAGAGGTTGCGTTTTGTTTGAAAAGGGCGAGGGTTGTGGAACCTCAGGCTTATGTCGTCATTTTCGTCCTCGTCGTTGTCCTCGTCGTCGAAGCCATCTTGGAAGGTATGTGCGCGTTCCTGAACACAGTTATTCGTAATTGACACGGACAAAGGACTGGAGGGCAGACCAAATGAATCCTGGATATATTGTCGTTTATTGCCCGGTTGGGCTCATAGGCCGACGCGGAGTCGCGCTGTGATATGAATACGTCAACCAGGGCCAGCGACTCATGAGAGTCACTCACCTCTGGCCCATACAGCGTCACCCACGACACAGGCGAGTGGATCTCCTCCTTGGTCTGTCGATAGTAGTCCGTGTCGCTGAACGAGTTGCGCGCCTCCGACTTTGGCCGGGCCAAAGTTAGGGAAGCGCTAGATGCAGAAGCAGCGCTGGTGGAGGGAATACGCAGGCGGAGCGATGAGGCCTTCGCTTTCAGCTTGTCGAGCATTGTGTGCGCAAAGTGGCGGGGGCACTGAGATAAGGGCGAGGCGAGGCCTGTCGTATATGTACAGCCCGCGATAATTCCCGGGCAGAGTCATTTTTTCGCCGGGGCACAGAAGAACGTTTCGATCGTTTCCACGGTGGCGTTTTCGTGGGAGATTCACCGTCGAGAACAGTAGCAAAGAGTCGAAAATAGGGCATTGAGTGGGTCCACAGTCGATCTGCATCACGACGCAAGTCATTCTCCTCGATAATCGACGGAGAACTGCAGTACCGCTCATTGTCTGCAATCGGACGACAATGGTGGCGTTTGGGCGGCTGGACCGGCCGCGGCAGCGAAAGCCAGGGTCGACGGCGAGGTGGATGCCAATCAGCTTCTGGCGCAGTGACTTGTGTCGGCGAGCCGGACCGAACGGCGGAGTTGGAAGCTGTTCTCGTGTGCCGCGTCGGGGAGCGAAATCACCTAGATCGCAAGTCAGTAGTGCTTCAACGACTAGGACTACTATTATGTATGTACCAAAGAGTTCTTATATGTAGAGTAATAGACGATGATAACGCGAGAACAATCAGAAGAAAGTAACGGGTAGGTAAACCCTCTTGGTATGCTGAACAAACATAAAGAAAGAACATAGTGTTTGTTGCCATTGGCCCAGTCGAGAGTTGGTGATCTTGTAATCGTGATGCGCAGAACACTGTCTTTGGACATGACAGTATGACGACTCGATGTTGTGGACTGCAGGACCCGTTAAGAAAAGCAATTTGCAGCATCGCCCAAACAAATCCAAAGGGGACAGGTTCAAGTTTCGGAGGACGAGTAGTGGTGTTCTGGTTAAACTTCGAGAGACACGACGAATATAGTCCTGCTAAGCGGCCAAAAAGATGGATGTTCCAGCGAGTTGTCGACGGCGAATGCAAACGGAAACCGTGTCGGGGATCAACGATTATTAGGGTGGTCACTGTCTGTGTGGACAATAGAGCCAAAGGGAGGGTTGGAGGCATCTTGCCAATGGAAAGAAGAAAGGACGATTTGGGATATGGTTTCGAATGGTGATCGGCCAAAAGATATTTCTTCTTCGAGAACTGGGACAATCGAGAGGCTGAGGCTGTCTGCAATCGCCAGCTTGAGATATCGCAGATTTTCAACAGTCTCGATAAACTCCAAACAGTTGCGTTCTGGGAATGAGGGCTTTGAAAACCAAGAAATGGAGGTTGTTGCACTAGAGGGACGCAATGAGCGCGAGGTAGGCGAAGCGAGAGACGTGTTGCTTACCCAGGCTCAGTGTTATCAGGCATATTTGCTTTTCGTCATATCCATCCCACCCAGAAGCCAATGCATCGAGGTTTCAAATGGCCATAATCTCCAGATGATCTCCAGTCCCACAGCTCCTTTCACCCTCAACGCGATTATTTTGAGGAGGTCCAATCAAAATGGTGTCGTGTGAGCTCGTTGCAGCGTCTTCGTAGTTGTCTCTCGCCCAGATAAAACTGGCTGTCTCGGCATGGGCGAAGTCTCTGGATGAGGCGTTCTTGCCACCTCCATCGTCGGCCGGGTCCAGAACAATAGCCAATGTCTTCCTTTAGACGGTGGCGAGTCGATTATGCGCAAAGAAAAGGGTCACAGCCTGTAACCCGTTTGACCACCAGTCCCATGCAAAGATTCTTTGTCTATCTGAGGTTGGGACTGGATTAAGCTGATGAAAAACAGCGAAAATATCACATACCGACCGCATCAGTGGCCTTGGGACAGAGGAAAAAGAGGCCATTCTTGTTCAATATTCGTGTTACGTTCTTTATCCCAATCGTTCACAAGACACTCTGCAGATTGACCATTAGTGCGTGTAGGGGTCATGGTTATAAGCGAATGCACACCAACATGGCGAGCCACAGTCGCTAGCTTCTTCGTTATTGCTTTCTGTTACTGCTTTGCCCTTCGGTCGCATAGCTGAATCCACGGTTACGACATGCATTTTTTGAGAGAAAGAGACCACTTCGTGAGCCTGTTGGAGCGCAAAGTTTGACGCGAACATTGCCGTAGAGTCTCCGAGGTCATTTGTGGTTGGTTACTATTAGCGTGGAGGTGAAGTTTTGTAATTGATGGCGCACGTGCTGCCTAGATCAAGATCAACCAACCATAACGTCGACGAGCAACTCCGACTTTTACTGTCGCAAAAAACGGGACAAATCATCCCACTTTCGGAATACGTCTCGACAATAACCCTGATTATGTGTTCTTCTTGACTCTGAGCAATCGAAACAAATTCGAAATTTATTTTGCCCTTCCGATACTTCAAGTTACCTTTCGGTTACCAGGACAAACACATCTGAATCGGGGTCTCCGGTGACCCCATTCACAAAAGTGGACTATTGCGAGGCCGTTACTTTTCTCCCCAGTGCATTTTCAAAAACAGTCAAAAATCTGTCCGACGTGGTCACGAATTACTGCTCTCATCTTCGAGGTCAGTCTCTGTGATATTTCTGAGGCATCTACCTGATGGTCAAGCAGCGCGACCAAACCACACTTCTGCGCTGGCCCTTCCAGCACCCTCTAAGTCCCTCACGTCCCCCTCCTTGCCCCAAAAGTCGCCCTTGAATGCCCATCCGTCTTTCTCCTTCACGTCGTCTCCTGGAACCCACTCAGCTACATATCTACGGTCTAGGCCGACGATGACATCATCGCCGCTCGTCGCTGTGGGCGCTGCACTTGTGGTGGTCCAAATCATGGAAGCATTGAACAAATTCCCGTCGAAATGCGCCAACCTGATGTAGCTCGCAAGCATCCGTTGAAACGGAACGACAAAGGTTGGTACATTGTCGGACGCGTTGAGAATCTGCCTAACCACTGGCACATCTAGAATGGATTGACATCTTGTGTTCACCATCCTTTCGACCGAAATAAAGCAGGGCTGGAATGCGCCATAAGTTTCGTGAACAAAGACACCAGCCATCTGTGAAAATGGCGTCGAAGGTATGCTTGCGGGAGATGGTCGCGGGGTAACATCTTGATTCCGCCGGATTCCATCCGCAACAGACTTCAGGTACCGCTCTGCCCAGTTTGTTGGATTGCCCCCAAACCCAAGCAGCTCGTCGATAATGCGGAACTTGACAGGCTCCATGACGCGGACGCCGTCGTCGTCGTTGGTTAAGACGACAAGACCAATTTGGTCTTTACAAACAGTTTAGGTGTATGTCACCATATGTGGAAACCGGGCTCACCATACGGCAGACGGGTGACAATAGTTTTGAAGCCCGGATTACTGCCTCCATGTTCAATAATCTCGTGGCCGCGATACGAGAACCGGTTTTGGCCACAACCATAGACTTTGGGGCTCTACTTGATTCAAGAGCGAGTTTTCGTCAATGCATAGGCCACCTACAGTCTCAGGAAACTCCGCTTTTTCAAGCGATACGCTGGCGCCGAGAGCAACGTGCTCAACGATTTCCGCAGGTATTACGGTCCTGTTCGTAAACGGATGTCGACCTTGGTTGAGGAGCGTGGCAACCCACACTGACTACGAGTTTCAGGAACAATTGCATCAATGAGCTAAAAATGAAGCACACCAAATCTCTCGCACTGGAGATGATACCGCCTGCTCCGGCCCATATTCTCTCCTCTCCTGGTCGTTGAAAGTATTCGCTTGGAGTCAAGATGCCAGTCTGGTTTGCCAGCCAATCTCGCATACTCCAATGGAAACCATGAGCCAACTGGTTTGTGCCATCGGGCAGAAACCGCCGCTCAGCTTCTCCCACCGAGTAGGTCGACGAATTCATACCCAGCGGAGCAAATATATGTTGTGCGATGTATGACTCGAATGATTGGTTGAGGAGCTTTTCTGGGAGGTACGACAGCGCCTCATACATGAGGTTATTATACTGATATTTTTCGCGTAGAGAGGCAGAGGGACGAAGGTATTGAAGTTTTGATATCTGCGAGAGTAAATGAATGATCTTCAACAACAATGCTGCTCAACACACCATTTCTGAAACTCCTCCCGTTCTCGAAAACCCAGAGTAATCATGTCTCGGCAAGCCCGTACGATGAGAAAGCAAGTCCTGCAACGTCGCTCCGCGCTCCATGTCCTTGTCCATCAGCACCCACTCATCGCCCAAGATTTCCGCGACCTTCGTGTCCCATCTCAACGGGCGGCCCCTTTCCGCCGCCAACGTCTCATTCTTGATGAGCAGCCCGACGCCCGCGGCCGTAAACACCTTGCTGTCAGACGCGATAGCGAACATGGTGTCAGGACTGACGGGCGTGCCGTCTGCTCTCGCCTGCCCATACGAGCCAAACTCGAATTCCCATTCCTTGCCTGGCTTTCTGCGGACCACAGCAATGGAAAGCCCTGAAGAGTTCCAATACACTTGTTGGGCACGGATAAACGCGTCGACCTGCGGTGGAATTAGCTTCCTTTCCATTGAGCCTGGTGGTATCGGAGTTTCGAGTTTTTGTTCATTCTGAGGGATTGGGAGTGGTAGTTGGAGGGGAAGGGAGAGCGCAGAGGCAAGCGGGAGGAAGGCCAGGGCTGCGAGCATGGTGTTGGGGAGGAAGCAGGCATCATGCTTATCCGTCGCAAAAAAAGATATGTCGGGAATAGGGACAGCCTGAGAAATCTCGCGAGGATGATTGGCTGGCGATGCCGGGGCGATCAATCGGCGGAGAGATAAGCAAAAGCCCCTGTCAACGAAAGTTTACAGAGTGTTTGTAATATTCACATGCAACAACAACAAGAATTCATATATTACTCGTGGCTCTCTTCAATCCGGTACCGCATAGTGGCAGACGGCGCTGTATATGCCACAGCCTTTTCGTGAATTTGGCGCATATCATCGCTGGCTAGATATGCCTCGAAAACCTGCATCAAGTGCTGGACTAGGACCGCGCTTTCCTCGTGCTGACCCCACACAAGAGCCCCCGCAGAGTCCCGGGCAAATACAACGGCAAGAAGACCCTCGATTCGGAGCCTGGCGTCACCGACACAAACCGGCGGGCCAGCGTGCACGACCAATGCATGTAGAGCCATTAACTTGAGGAAGGCCGGGTTGCCGGCCGTTAGCACACCAATCGCGCGCAAGACGTCGTCAGTAGGAAAGAGTTCGTTGGCGAAGAGCGAGCCAAGGAGGCCGGCAATGTTGACCCCGCGGGAGGTCAGGTAGTCATGCTCGCCATGCGGTTCTTTCCGCCACGCATCAGTATCCCAGTAAGCGCGGAATAGCTTGATGGCCTCGCTTCGGATAACCGCAACTACGTTCGGTTTGCCGACGGACAGACGGGCGAGCAGTGGCGCGACGACTTTGGCCGTGACGTGCCCAAGACCAGACACAAGTAATTCGCAGATTGGTGCGGCTATGTTGGTGGCATTGCGGAGCTGGTCACGGTAATATTTGTAGCGCTCCTCAGCGGGGTCTGGAGGTGGAGTGGGATCGCGCTCGTAAAACGTTGGAATGGGATACACAGGTCGAGGATGGCGAATGGCAACGCCAGTCTTGATTTTCAACGCCGGGATGATTTCCTCCTCAGATGAGCCGGAAGATGCCAACTCGGGAGTTGTTGAGGCGCTGCTGCTGCCATAGCTCCGCATTACGCTCGACTTGCCCGACGAGCTAGTCGAAGACTCTGCGCTGGATGACCTGGCAGTAGACTTGGCTTGGACGTTGAAACCCCGCAGTTCGTGGCCTTCATCAATGACCACGGGGTTTCCGGTCTCCGGACAGCGGGTCAGGACAACGTCTACCCCATACAGGTCTTTCCGGGCTTGGTCCTGTGGCAGCGTCCAGACATCGTCGGGAGGCATACGAGAAGGAATGTTCAGAGTGGCGAGACGAGATGGGTTGTGGGAAGGTGACATGCTGGGAAGTTTAATTTGCGTTGGCTGAAACGGAGTAGCTGGGATAAGTTTTGGAAGCCATAGAGGGCGAACGGAAAGCCTTTTATACGAGTAGAATGGTGCTTGGTTCGGTATCTTTGTTGGCCACTCAGGTCACGGCGCGGCAAGGCGGCTTTGTTTTGCGGGTATTCAAAGCTAGGGTAGACTAGGTCGTAAGTTTCTACCAGTCTGGGGACGAGTTGCATTGTTGAGTTTCACTGGTGGAGAGAAAGTAGTATTTTTCATCCGCTGACCATGTAACTAGACAGACCCAACAGTAGGAATACAGCATTACGAACACGAGGGTATTCGTTCTATAAAACAGGTTGGTCCCGCAAACAGTCACGACCATTTGTACTCACAAAGATGATAGAGACGTATCCCACGTAGGGTATAATGCTGGCAGGGAGGTTAGCTGTGAATAGATGTCGAGATAAACTACGGACCCTTGCACCTTCCCAACAAGGTGCTCCGGCTCGAGCCACTCAAGACCGTTGTAGAGCGAAATGTCGTTCACATCGTTGTTGTCACCCTTGGTCATGAATCTGCGAGGACTAGCACATAAGGTCAATCTGGATAGAGAACGGTTTGCTGGCTTTACCTCGCTCCAGATTCACGCATCTCCAGCACGCGATGGACAATGGGGACCATCTGTCCGGGAACTTCATAGACCGTAATGTCACCGTTCTGATATTCTTGGGGCGACCAGTTGCTGAGGAACAAGAGGTCGCCGCGATGAATGCCAGGTTCCATTGACCCACTGAAGTTGTAAATTATCTGTGAAAGACATGTAGGCTGAACATACGTTAGAACTACCACCGCTGGCGATTTGCAATTGGTGAGAATGCCTGCTGCGGCATAGGCCATGTAGGAAGACGAAAGTGAGGAGGCAAATAGCAGCCCTTGAAGCAAAGTCTATGAGTCATGAGTATTGCCACCTGGCGAAGAGTGGGCTGCGCGCTTACGCGGCGAATACGGCCCATGGTGGATGTAAAGAAAGAGTCAATTGCTTTTGAAGAGCATCCAATCTTCCCAGAACACGATTGCGACACGTTGACAGTGACGATTTGACGGCAATGAGTTTGTGGAGTTGAAAGTTCTTGGGGAGTTCAACCAAGCCATCGACGTCCTCTAACACCGTTGGCAAGTTGTGGCTGTAGTGGTTGTTTGTCAGGCTGAAAGCTGAAATCGCGTGACTTGGAGATTCTCATCTCAGCACAGTCGCGAATGCTAGTCTTGGAACCCAACCACGTATACGCGTCATGCTCGCTGAGACTGTTGCTCTTGTCGCTCTAAGGTGTGTCTGGAATCCTCATATTTGATCATCTAACGTTTCAGAGCTGCAATCTTCTTCTCCTGCCGCAAATTCATACTCGCAGGTCTCCATGCAAACTATCAAGACTCCGACACCGAATTCATTCCTCTGCAAGAACCGCTTCCATCGCCAATAACACATTCGTCGAAGGGCAAGTCATTTGGAAAGAGCAAAGCCACAACAGAGGCAGGAGACGTTTTTGCGGGCTGTTTCATGGAAAGTTGTGTGCTTTGCACACTGCTCATGATGCAGGCACTCGATATATCGAGTCCCAGGTGAGTGTTTGCTCGCCTTTCGCTGCGTAGTGACTGATGCCACATATCAGTGTGCGACTGCTCAACTGGCGAATCTCGCTCTTCATCCTGCTTGCCCTTGTTCTGCTGTACCTCCCGTTCCTACTCAGCCTACTGCTCATATTCTCTACGGACTCTGGTGCGTCGAAATCTGCTGTATCCTCTTCTAGCGCTGATTATGTTCTTAGAAACCCGGCATCGCACCACTTTGCCGCGATTAGCTTTCAGCGTCGCCGTGGTTGGCCTCCATCTATTTCTTCTCTCCCTTGTACCGCTACCAGAACCAGCAGGCGACTATACTACTGCTGTGCTGTCGCGGCTCATTGTTGTCGGCACTGTCATTCTTGGTCTTCTGGCCGGTTATGGTGCCGCAAGCAGCGTTTGGACATACTTTCCGCTCAACGGACAAATGCAAGCGATCTTTTTCTTCCTTCTTTACGGTCTCACTTTTTATCCTCAGAATTCCCCCGACGGAAAATGAGCTTGTCAGCGCCCAGGAGTCGTTGTCCAATATTCGAAATGATATCGAGAAAAAGAGGGGAAGCAGGAAGGCGGCGCGCTGAATCTGCTGCAGCTGCTCAAGTATGTTGGGACATCCATATAATTTCGTAACCGACTGACTTTTGCAGGCGAATGCGACCTGGCTTTCTCGTGTGATGCCCAGCTTTCGAGGGGATGATGGTACGACTTTTTCCCAGTTTCCTTGTCTTATATTTGTGCTCATATTTGACTGCCTGAAAGACACACAAGTCCTCGCCGGCCTTTCTGCTTTGGAAGAGCAAATGACAATACGGGTGGATACCCTGCGACAACGCCGGCTGGAAGCTCTGCGAATGCGAACATGGTACGGGAGACTGGTTACAATTTGCGGAAGGGTGTTTTCCGTCTACTGCGCGTTCAGGGTTCTAACAGTGAGTGGCCTTTCAACTTATCTAACTAGCCCAAAATAACATCACAAAAGACGATGGCTGCATTCTTGCTGCCCTCGTCTTTCGGTTCACGGACTACTTCTGAGGCCAGCAAAACTTCTCCTGCGCTCGATCTGGACCTCGCTACGAACGTGATGACGACATTACTCCCTCCATTGGCGGACAAACCGCAATTGGCCTCCCGCTTGGCCAGACATGCGAGCCTTCTTCTTGTGGGCATAATCATTGCATCGAGCTTGAGGCGAGTCGTGCGGGGAGCAACGAGAGTTTTACGAGTAACAAGCCAGACCTTAGGCTCTGCGCTGATGGTCCTGGTGCTTGCATGGGTCATGGTATGCTCTGCATTTGACTACTAGACGTTACTCTGAGATATTTTCCTCTAGAGCGTCTATATCCTTGCAACCATCGTCCAGCTGCGAACAACCTTCCCGCCTCCAACCCCATCCACGCCCCCCTCAGAAGTTGGGAACGATGATGCGGCTGTGACCAATCTCTTCAGCACCATTCCGCCGTTCGCTGTGTTTGGCCCCCTCTTTGATGGAGCGTTTCTTCTGTCCGCGGTTGCTGCTGTAGCGGGACGATGGATTGGCGGGAAAGTGGGTGGTGCGGACTGAAGTTTCCGAGCATCATTGGATAAAAAAAATTTCAGCGAGGTATATATACCAACCAATTATTCATATCTACGAGGCTGACATGCTGCCGTCTAGTCATCGTTGATGAGGCGCGTTTCGTCTCTATTCGCTGTTGTGTAGACAATGCATCCATGAACTTCAGAGAAGATTTTAACCCATCAACTTCAGAACCTGGAATCGTTGAGGATCATGAGGAGGACAACATAAGAATCATACTCTCCGAACTATAGCCCCGGTGGCCTCAGTTATACGCATCTTTGGCGGCCAACAATTCAATACGGATTATGTCAGGAAGACCCTGGCTTAACACGCTTCCATAATCGCTGCCTCAGCCAACGATGTCGACCAACACGATTCTGAACGGCTGTCTCATCGCTTGGGACTCGACATTGCTAAGCTCCAAACATATCACAGGGTCCTGTAACGGCAGACTACAATGGTCAGCGTGGTTTCCCAGCGGTATATAACCAGTAAAGAGCATGCAATAAGTAATTCCTCAAGTCTCAAGCCAGCTCTACTAGTACAAGTCGAAGACCCACCGCACTCTGAAATACACAATGGTCGTCAAACTTTATGCCGGTGCACGGGTCTCTGGCGGTAGCTCGATTGTCGCGACAGTCTTGTTGGCGAAAAACATCCCATACGAACACATCCTGGTCGACGTTCCCGGAAAACAGAATAAAGGACCTGAGCACCTCGCTATCCACCCGTTTGGCCAGATCCCTGTCCTCGTAAGGCCATATATCCATGTTTTTCGTGCAGAGTTTGACACGACCTAGGATGATAATGGCTTTATCCTTTACGAAACTCGCGCTATATGCAAGTACTTGGAGAACAAGTACCCCGGCCATGGTCAACAGCTGGCTCCCGTGCCGACCGACGCCGAGGGACAGGCTATTTTCGACCAGATGTTGTCCGTCGAGGTCAACAATTTCTACCGTCCGATGTTCAAGATCGTACAGGAAGTTGTGTTCAACAGGTACAGTGCATTCATTGTTTTGCCTCTTCCGTGCTCATAGATATAATAATGCTCAGGCTCTTTGGGATCGAAGCCAATCAGACCAATATTGATCAAGGGGTCAAGGACCTCGGCACTACATTGGATGTTTACGAGACCGTTCTCGCGAAGCAGAAATATCTTACAGGTGGTGTATGTGACTTGTCCCTCTCCCCCTCCAACTCGACCGCTAACTCAAATCTACAGCAAATCTCGTTGGTCGACTTGTACCACCTCATCTACACGCCTGGGTTGGCTCCAGCCGGAGTGGACATCATGACTCGTCCAGAGCGGCCCAATGTGACTCGGTATTTTGCCCCTCTCTTGTACTCACCCATCCTTTGCTTATCAAGTGTTGGTGTAGGTGGTGGAATGACCTGATCACATACCCGGCGTTCGTCAAATTGCAGGATGACGGATATGGGTATCATCCCCCCAATTGAGTGTTTTATAGCCAGTCGTTGCTAGTGGCATGTTAGCATTGGACTCTGTCCTTCGTACTTCTTAGAACCGGGGAATGAGATTATCTTATCTCTTGATTGCTTACCTGATGGGGATGACATTTTTTGGGTCGCGCCATCTTGCGCTAGTGTGGCACCAGCACCAATATATTCATTCCAAGAAAGCTATATAACACCCGGCGTACTGCAGTTCAATACTCCAAATTCGCCGCACGGCTCGCCATTTTCGCGCCCACTTGTTCTTCTTATTTGAACGTTTCAGAGGAAAGTGACAGTGACGAGACCCGGAAGCAACTCCGATCGGAGTTATGGAGGGCAGAAAACGGTTCAAGTTGTAACTCAAACACGATTCGGTTCGCTGCAGATACTTCCTCTACCAAGGACCCGTTTTCCGATGTCGCTTCGGGCATTCTCCGGGCTTTGCTAAGCCAAGAAGCTGTCGATTTGCGAGCCGATTCACGGCAATCGCAGCTCACTGTCTCTTTCTCAGTTTCTCTCGCTCTCGCTCTTGTCTCCCTCAAAGACAACACGAAACAATGGTCCTGCAGCTTTTTGCCGGTCACTCTTTCTACGGCGGTGGCGCCGTCGTTGCAGTCGTATTGGCAATGAAGAAGATCCCGTACCAGTTCGTGCTTGTCGACATGGCCAAGAAGCAGCACAAATCGCCCGAACACAAGGCGCGCCATCCGTTTGGCCAGCTGCCCGCTCTTGTGCGTCAAATAATCTCAAATCGGCCGCTACTTGAATTGATGCTGACGCGTTCCAGGATGACGACGGGTTTGTTATCTACGAAACCCGCGCGATCTGCAAGTACCTCGAGAACAAGTACCCCGGCCAGGGAGTCAGGCTAGCGCCGCCGCTGAGCGATATCAAGGGCCAGGCAATGTATGACCAGATGTTGTCTGTGGAGCTGTGCGATTTCTACCGTCCGATGTTACGCGTTGCGCAGGAGGTTATCTTTAAACCGTGAGCCTGACTTGCCAGCATTGCTAATCTCAAATTGCTCTTCAGCATGTTCGGTGCTGAGACGAACCAGGCCAACCTCACGGATGGTGTCAACGACCTTGGGATGAAGCTCGACGTCTATGAAGGCATTCTGGCGAAACAAAAGTATATCGCTGGGAACGTGCGTCTAAATCGAACTGAGTAGCTAGCGATTGAACTTATAAATATTACTGCTAGGAACTTTCCCTGGTCGACTTATACCACCTCATTTACGCTCCTGGATTGGCTCCTGCGGGAGTCGACATTATGACGCGCGCAGAGAGGCCACATGTAGCACGGTATGTCCATCGTGGGCTGCTCTTGTACTTTTCACGAATGATCTAGGTGGTGGAACGAGCTCATATCGACCCCAACATATGTGAAGCTTAAAGCAGAAGGCTATCCGATAGAGGCCTAGATTGAAAGTTTCCAATAGACTACCGATAATCCCAAGTTCAAATCGAGACTTTGAATGCTTATCGATCGGTCTCTTAATCCGACACTGCTCTTTTCTTTCAATGAAATCCGGTAGCATTCTGTGAAATCTCCTGTAACCGTGCCCAGTCAAGTAAAACTAAGGAAAAGTAACTGTCAGAAATTGGTGCTTATACTTAGACCATGCCACATGCTCCCAATTGAGTGCCTGAGACAAGTAGCTTAATGGCTATAGAGGGTACAACTTGAAAGGGAACAGAGGGAGATAAAAGTGTGGCTACCAGCCATGCAGATGCTGATACTTATAATGTTACTCCAGCCCTCAGGCTGTCCTATCTGAGCTCTGGCCAGCCACAATCACATGTGGGACTGCACATCACTGTGTGTCTGTCAGACTTCGGGTCGGGCCGTGCAAGGACCTTTTCTAAGAACACGCGCCCGGAACAGAACAGACGGATAGTCGGGCCTGCAAGGACGGCGAGCGGGGTAGATCGAAACCGTAAGGGCCCGTGAACTCGGTCCCTTGTCGCTGTCGGTGGTCGAAGGTTCGAATCGGGTCATGTCGGGCCCGATGAGTAGATAACACCTCCTTGCACGGAGTAAGGTAGTTCTTCAGACGATCTAAGCGATAGGGTACAGGGTACACTTAGGGCTCGGCACCGTACCGTAGTGGTACGGCAGTACGGCGCCGTAGTACGGCTACGGCGCCGTACCGTACCAGGGGTTGATGGTGGCTGGTACGGTACGGTACGGCTCCGGTGAGCCGCCGTACTGACCGTAGCCGTAGCGCCGTATCCGGCCGGGGTACGGTCGCCTACGGCGGTCGCTTCTGATGGGCCACGGGCCCGCGAATCGTGAGCCGAACGCCGCCTCACGGGGTCCAGAACACCGGCTTGTCAACATCCTCATTGTTGACCGGTGATGGACGCTCGCCAGCGCTGGCCCGATGCGTCGTCGCGGTGACATGATGTGACACCGGCGCGTCACATATGGTCCCGCAGGTGCGCAACCGGCGCTGACGACGAGAGCAGACCTTTGGAGTAATCAAGGTCAGTCTCGAAGCCATCAGACCGCCTAGTAACCCACCGGCAGGGGTAGAATGCGTGCCATCAGACATTGATGGCAACTACGGCCGTATCACCGTATATGGCCGTACCGGAGCCATACCGGAGCCGTAGTGAGGGTCGCCAAGTGGCAGTACGGTACGGCGACGGTCCGGGAGGCGCCGTATTGCGCCGTAAAAGTACGGCCGTAGCCGTATACGGTACGGCGCCGAGCCCTAGGTACACTATCGTGCCTTATATACGTGAGCCTGCAAAGGGGGTGATCGGACACTCTGGCCTCTCCTCCTCCTCCTCCTCGCTCCCATTCCTGGCCGCAGAGGGGATGATTGTACATCCCTTGCGGGCCAGGCGCTACTCCTAACCTCCTAGCTGTTGAAGCGCCAAAAGGTCTAGTCAGACCAGGAGTTGAACCTGGGTCCTCCCAATCGTACTGGGATGCCTAACCACTAGACACTGGTCAAGTGTGAGGATTCCCATTTTCCAACACACCCCCTGAAGACTCACACGGACTTCAAGAAACCAGACATGTGTCAAACTCAACGTTGACACCTGACACTACCTCATCACGGATACCCAATCCGTGACTTCTGTGTCAGAAGGTAGGTGATCATCATATCAGTGTCGCAACATTCTGATTACATGTCATTTTTACGGAGTTACCCCAAACTTGGGTGAGGGATCAGAACTTCTGTCTGCCCGCTGCCTCCAACTACAGTTGACGCGAGCAGATCATGGCAGCGCTCTCACGCTGACGGGGCCCATAACCTGACAAGACGATATCAGAACTGTGTGAATAACAACAGGACTGGAGAGACGACGAGCTAGACTACTCAGTATATATACTCAGGCTAGCTATGCTGACTACACTATGTTGACTACGATTTATAAGTACGATGAGTAAGTAAAGGTAGAGGATGACTGAGCGAGTATTCAGTCCTTACCAAGCGCATTGGTTATTACCAAGCGGTCATGTGCAAGTATGGTAAGCGGATATGACTTCAACTTCAACATGTTGGAAAATGGGAATCCTCACACTTGACTGGTTGGATAGCCTAGTGGTTAGGCATCCCAGTACCCCAGGTTCAACTCCTGGTCTGACCAGACCTTTTGGCGCTTCAACAGGTTATGGGCCCCGCCCCTTCTCCTGCATAAGGCAAGTCCTTCTTGCTCGGATCGGTGCTGCCTCTATTGTACTGTCCTTTATTGGACATGGCATGACACTTTGTGTCAAGGCTAGTGTTGCCCCTTTACCTACACAAAGCCCCCTCTTTTTACCTATCATTTCTTAACCTAGTATTGCCATTGTGGCATTGCCGGCCCTGCTCTCACTTCAGGTTCAAGCGCATAGCCAGTCCTTCCCCAGTAGGGTAAATTCATAACAGCAATATGACGGTTCAACACCGATCATTCTGGTTAGCGACCAGGCCCTGTCAGTGCATGCATGTCAAACTCGATCAGACCTCTGCACAGAAGGGATTGTTGGGGACATCTCCTTAGGGAGTTGCGAGGCTGTGAGATGCTGTCCTGAACAGAAAAGGGTGGACCTCTCACCGGAGGCAGACGCCCACGCACTAGGGCGCCTAGTGCCTGACAGGCACTAGGCGCTCCTTAGGCAGATCCGGAGGCTTTTGCAGTGCATGGACTGCACGCTCGAGCTCGAGCTCGTGTCTGTTGAGCTTGACATGATAGAAGCGGTAAGACGGTCACGCTCTTTTCATTTCCCTTTGTTTCTTACCACAAGGAAGCAGTGTGTCGCGCGTGTCGTGGCGAAATCGATGCATTGAAGTATTGGGGGCTTTCAGGTATGCTTTCCGTCTCTTTCCTCCGACAAAGCTCACCTTCATGTCTAGCAAACAAACCAGTACTGGAACAACGCGTCCTGCGGCCGCCCGGGGCTGCAGTGTTGTTCTCTCACCTTACTCACGCCACCGAAAGGGCGAAAGACCTCCGCTTCAATCGCCACCTGACCCGTTCTCTGCTCCGAGCAGCAGCAATGGAGACCCACGCTCTCGTCCAAGCCGCATACCAGTGCGGTCAGCGCGTACAGCTGCAGTCCAACCCATCCCCCGTCTTCCATTCCCATTCGACTCCCGCTCTCCGACCAACCCCGGTCCCCGCTGTGTACCCAACAGATACAAGCGGCGGCTTCAGAGCTGCACATCCCAATCTGCTCGCTTCTCCCAAGACGCCAACACCCTTCCATCATCACGACCGCGACAGGCATCGCAGCATGAATCAATGATCAGCGAGCAAGTAGGCCATCCACCGCTGCCATCAACGACTCCAAAACATAATGCCGACACTCCTGCATTTGTGGTGCAAGATGACGGCAATGGACATGGGCCACCACCACCAGTAAGAGTCTCACCAAGCCCAGAGCCATTTGCTTTTGCGGCTCGTCCCCCACTGCCGCCTGCTGCAATACATGCCTGGAAGGGCAAAGGCAAGCAAGTATCTCGTTCTTCACCCTCTCTGTCACCACCACCATCTCGGCGACTTCACAATCGGACACCTGCGCGCCAGCGACATCCTTCTCGCTCACGTTCTCCTGCACCACGAGCCAGAAATTCAAATACACGGGGTCGTTCCCGAACGCCACGAGCGCAACATCATAACTCTTTGTCGCCACAGCCAGGGCCTTCACACCAACAACAGGATATATGCTCTGAGCCATTGGATATGGTGACGAGTCCTTCTCCACCTCGGCTCACACCAGTGCCTCATTTCTCACCAACCTACTCACCTCTGGGTGATGATGTTCCCCTTGGCAATATGCAGAACCCAGGTTTGCCACCTCCCCATCACTCGCCACCTCCCTCTCGGCCTCCACCTCCGCCTCCTCCGCCTTGGCCTCCACCTCCTCGTATGCATGCACAACCAGCAACAACAGCTGGAACTGATCCTGAATACGAGAAGTGGAAGAAGGCCCAGGCTCGTAGAAAACAAGCAAAGGGTTCAACATCGTCAAAGCGCTCGCATAGCCGACACAACCCCTATTGGATTCCGACTAAGGGTGTGGCTGCGCTGCGCGTCTTGAAGATCGATCACTACAGGTAAAGTCAGCTCTCCAATTACTGCCATTACTCAATCTATATCAGAATGGGATGACATTGCATCTGCAGATTATGGCTGGAGTCCATGATGGCAAATATGTCCTTCCTCTCCCTAGTCCTTTAGATATTGCTGAATTCGAGACACGATTCGTTTCTGCTGCAGACTGGCGACGAAAACTAGGTGGTCTCAAGTATGGTTGCGGTCACGACTTCATGACAAGCCAAAAAAGGAAATTTTGAATCTTGAATAACACATTGAGTAGGTACTGTAGACACTTGATACTCCATAATTGTATAGCTATTCAACCTCTTTACCCACTGCACGGCCCATATTTTACGCATTTGAAATAACACAAAAAATGGACAAGATTTGGCGGATCAAGCTTAGGTAACATCACGTGTCAACAGACCAGCGTTGGTTCACCATCCGCACTACCCTATGACACGTACAAAATGGCAGGCCAAGCCTCTCCGGGACTCTCGTGGTGCCTTCATTTCAGCTAGAGCCCAGTCTGGAACAGCAAGCACGCTTATAGAGCCTGAAATTCTCCCAAGTTCAGATGACTCTGAGTCTGACTGAGAATACGACGAAGATTCTGATGAAGAATACCGCAATCTTCTTGAAGTTGTAATCAAACCTCGCGCACCGTCACAAGTAAAACGGGATAAGTTGGCCGCAAATCGTTGCACGGAACTTGTGCTTGATGGACCAAAAGACAAAGTCGGACGAAAGAGGGGGCCGTATCAAGTCAGTGGTGATGCGGAACACACTGCACAACAAAAGCGACAGAAGATCCGTGATGAAGTCCTTGCCGGAGGTCGCAGTTTGGATGAACCATCAGTTCAGAAAGCCCTGGAAGCAGTCA